TGAGCAAGGGCAATAAGTTTGTTGGTCGTGGCTTGTTGCTGGTAAGTATGTTGAACAATATCACAATAGCTTGAAGGTAGGTAGGTAAAAATCTGGTTAATACATGTCCTGTGGGCAGAGAGAGATGCTCAAGATGACATAATTGGACGTGGGATAAGGTGTACCTGAGGAGGCCAGTATGGTGGGACAAATGTAATTGGCTTACCATATAAGAGGTCAAGTGGTACGGGTGGACCACCTTTCAAGAGGTGTTGAAGGTGGCACAGAAGACGTAGGAGGAGTGTTGGTGAAGAATGAGATGACTTGTTGTGGTGGACAGAGGTGGATTATAAAGTGATGGAGAGTCAAAAATTTTCAATTATAGACTGATGTCAGTGGTGATATCATGGTAAAAAAAGGATCAGAGAGGCAAATAGGTAGTCCTTAGAAACTTAGGCATTTGTTGAGAAGTTGAGTGTGTTATCATCAGTGTGATGAAGGGAAAATTCATTCATGGAAAACAAGATCTCGAGAAACCATAAATTTTTTTCAGTTGGTCATATAGGCGGTAACCTTTTTGGAAATGGGGTATCCATAAAAGTGCATCGAGTCACCTAAGGACCAAATTTGTCACGTGTCCCAAGAATGGAAGAATAACAAAGACAGCCAAAACACATAGATGACTATTATCAAGTGTCTTCCAAATAATATTTCGTAGGGAGTTTTACCATCAAGTTCTCAGCCTGGCATGTGATTAATTAGGCAAGTAAATGTGATCACACATTCACCCCAACATTTAATAAGAATATTAGCTTAGTGTTTAAGGGCATGAGTACTCCTAACAAGTGTTGGTGTTTTCATTCAACTACCCATTCTGCCAAGGAGTATAGGTGCAAGAACTCTCGTGATGAGTGCTGATGGTTAAAAAATTCATAGAGTATCAAATATAACCTGTTGGCTGACGAATGACACTGTTGTTTGATCATAGATAAATAATTCCTAATAGGAGTAAGAGTTTGTGTTTTTTACTGCATTAGGAAAACCCATGTCCCAAGAGAGAAATCATTAACAATGGTGAGAAAATATCTGGATCCATCATGATTAGGAGCAAGGACATAGCCAGAAATGAAATATGGGGGGTCAAGTTGAAAGAACAATACAATTTAAATTAAATAAGCACAAGTTTTGTATTTATAAAATTCTCATAAATACATTTATTTGTCCTCAACGGGATTTCATCTTTGAATTATTGTATAATGACTTCATTATCAATACTATCAAATACATCTTTCTCTATTACACAACTAAGTATTATTCAACTATTGATACTCATCTATTTCGCAAATGATTCTTCACAAAATTCATTTTTGAAAAAATTCTCTCTCCACAATAGTAGTGGCAACGGGTAGAATCAATGCTAATTTCATCAACAAATAAAACTAATGGAAACACTATATCCTTCTTAGTTTCAACCATCATTTTTGCAAGATCTTTAATCCCTTTCAATCCCATAAATTTGACATTAGAGTGCATATCCGAAATGTAAACATCAAGTTGAGAATCAAGTGTCATGAGTTCTATGTCAAAAAAATCTTCTATATAAAATTCGGCAAGAACATCATTTTTGTTTATCAAAAGCAACAAATAATTCATTTGGACATAAACATGCCAAACAAGTAAGTAATTAAGTGGTATCTCATTGAAATGATTATTCAACTCTTGAAGCTACAAATCTAGGACATTATAAAAAGATGGATACAATTTGTGATCCCAATGGAAATTTTCATCTTCCTATATCCTAATCTAATTTAACCTTAAACTTTCAAAATAAAAGAATACAAATATAAAATGTATTGGTATCACCTGACAAATTGAAGAAAAAAGGGGGCTTGTCGGCTTGATAGGAGGGAGGAAAACTACATTTGTGTGGATAAAGAATTTGAAATTTAGGAAAACAATGAAGATTGGCTCACAAACTAATCTACAAACTTTCTCTCGCAATCCTAACCTGGCAGCTCATAATTGGGCAAGGGAGACCTATGCGAGCAAACGGGACCCATTTGCGAGTGACTAATTGTGAGCACCACATGTCGTGTTGTGGAGAAAGTTTGTGGATTGGTTTGTTAGTGTGGTATTACCCTTAGGAAAAAATTTGAAACCTAATTTGTTGAGTAAGTTATAGGCAATAGAGAAAGACCGATTTGGGAAGTAGGGTAACAGGGGTTTAGTTTTGATAGCACAAAAAGAAAAATGAGAGTTTAACTTATTGAGGATTGGAGGTTTATGGTAATTATTTTTCATTTAGGGGAAAATTTGTGAAACTAGTAAAAAAAATATTCAAAACTTAAGTAGGGTCAATGACCCTCCTTGAACCTCCCTCCTTTGTCCGATTAGGAGTGTGACAAGGGCCCCAATGTCAAGATGGTTTAGGGTAAATGGTTGTGTATAGTGATGTGCTATGTGGGAAGGTTATGCAAGATTGTTTTGCAAGAGGGCACATTAGACATTTTTGAGGAATAGACGCACTGTGACCCAATCTTTGATGAAGAATGAAGGATTTTTTATTGATATTTGTATTACAATGAGCAGTTTTATTATTTGTAATACAAGAAGATAAACTTGGAAAATCATTTGGAATCCAGTAGTATAGACATTGTTGACTCTATCCAAGCCCATAGTTCCTAGTCGAGAGTCCTGAAATTCACATGTGTAGGAAGGAATTTTAAAATGCAATTATTATCAATGCAATTTGAGACGGAATAAGATGAAATGAAAAGTAGGGACAAAAAGGACTTTGTAAGTGAGAAGTTTTCAGTGAGGGGAACAGTTCCTATGTGGTTGGCAGGTGAGATATTCTGTTTGGCATACGAACGGAAATAAATGACATAGGGATTTATGGGAACAAAATTTGGGTTACAAATGATGTGTCAATAGCCCTTGAATCAATTATCCAACATCTTCTTTAATAGAGTTTAGGCAAAAAGATGTACCTGTATAAGATGACATGGGCGCTTGTGGAATTTGATTCATCAACTGTAGTAGGTGATTGTATTGTTCCGTGTTGATATTGGTGCTAAAGTTGATTCTAGTAGGAATGGTGGTAACTTGATGAACAGAATTGTCAGTTTGCCCTTGCTAGTCGTATTAGGACGCCCATGTAATTTCAGCAATTATCTTGAGTATGATTCCGGCACTGCAATCTTTGAATACAACTTGCTCTTTCTGGTTTTGTAGGATCATAACTGGTTGATCCATTTTGCCCATTTGACCAATTGAGCTCAGTTGTTTGGTTTAGGTCAGTTGTGGGAATTGGGCCAGATATGCAGTTTGGGCGCTGGATTTACTGTGGGTTCATTTTGCGTTTGTAAGGGTGGGCTTTGTTCGATGAGCTGTGGGGTTTGAATGGGGTTTGTGTTTTGGTTGGTTGCCATCTGGATTTTGAGTGAATTGATTAATCTTAACAGAGTATCTGTGTGTTTTTGCAGGGACATAAAACAGTGGTTAGATAAGGAAATCTAATTGGGTATCTGTTTTGATTTTGCAGGGACCAAAAAAAAAAAAAAAATTAGAAGAGCGTAATGTCACGCACTTAACTTCTTTGCTAAGTTCGTGCGGCCTTAACCCTTCGGAAATGAGTTAAGCAGCCTAACGCTCACACAACTAACAAGCTCAAAGTATAAAGTTTAGAGAGAGAAGTTTAGAGAAAATATAAACTCTGTATTGAAAGGATTCAAGTTATGACATTTACAAAGGAGGGGTGGCCTATTTATAGGCTAAATCTCCTCAAAGAAATGACTACATACATCGAATACTTAGTCCTTAAGTTACTTAATTCCTAAGTAAACACTAGGTGGCAACCTTAGGTGGCAACCTTAGGTGGATGGATAAACATTATCCTTTAAGTTTCTTTGCCACTAAGTTTACTTAACTACGAAGTATACTTAGCCACTAAGCAACGTGCAGCCCACTTGAGTCACCAAGTAAGCTGGTCGTGACAGTAAGCTGGGTTAGGTTGAGCTACTTTGATACCATGAGAGTTTGGAAAGAGTGGCAAGAAAAAAGACTAAGTTTGCCAGAGTATGCCTAAAAGAAAGATGAAATTATAAGCAAGTTTTCTGTATATTTCGTATACTTGTACATTGTTCAATTTATACAAAAAATTTAAGTGTAAGAAAGGACATACAATCCTGCAATAAAAGTCTTAATTACATAGTATTAGGGTGATTGATTGAAACATAATATATGGAATCAAGGCTCAATCACATCGTTATGGAATCAGGGCATGATTACAATAATTTATATCCCATCAAATCCAACTCAATTGAGTTAACAACTTGTAGGATAGAGAAAAAATTCAGGTTTTCCAAGGATGAAATGGATGATTCTATTTCTTCTAAGCTTGTACCGAAAGTTTCGAGATCCTCCAAAGCTTCTAAATCTCCAAAGTCATCGGGTAATCTTTTCAATTTGGAGCAGAACAAAAGATCAAACTTTTTGAGAAATTTCAACTTACAGATGCTACTTGAGAGACTCTCAAGCGATGAACAATATCTAAGGTTCAACTCAACTAGTCTAGATGGATGTTCGATGAAGGGTGATTCTTTTATTCTAGTACCCTTTAACACTAATTTTTCCACCTTACATGAGATCTTTGGAGCTATCTCAAATTCACGGCAGCCTGTGAGATCAATAAACTTTGATTGAATGCCATCTGGTTGACTAATAAGCCTTGTGCAATTGCTTAGATTCAACTCAACAAGCTTATTGAGATTTTGAATAGAAGAGGGATTGATCTCTGACAAACTTGTACAAGACTGAAGAATCAATTCCTGAAGATTTGAGGCTCTTGAGAGATTTGGAATCTCCGTCATGTGTTCGGAGAAACTGAGATCAACAAATTTCAAATTTACAAGATTCTGTAAAAAAAAACAAAAAAAATGACCAACTCAAATTAGTGCCTTGTATTTTTATAATATTCAACAGAAAGAACATTGTATATATACCAAAATACATACCTGAAAGGCATTCCAATGCTTGACTTTGTTGTCTTGCATATCAAGTCTAACAAGACTCTCTGACGGAAAATTTAATGGCAATGATTTAAAGGGGTAATTATTCCAGAAGAAGAATGTTATGTCATTGGAAAAGGATTCAAGTTCTTCAAAACCATACAACTTATTTTCATAATTATCTTGGTATTCTGAGCTGTATACTCTGAAGAATCTTAAGTTATCCATCTTTGACAAAACATGACAACTTAAGCCTGCATTGGTTATTTTTGATACGTCCAAGTTTATGCCTCGTACTGCTTCAATTCCCTAACAGTCAAAAGAGATTATCAGTTAACATACAAGATACTACCATTAATCAAACTCATCAATTAAGCTAACGTATTCTACCCGTAAAATATTAGCCTAATCAAACTAATTTAAGCTTCATACGTAAATTAAGATACACCTTTTTTTTTTTTTTTAATTAAAGATAAATTGTGAATCAATTACAAACATATACTCTAGTGAGTAAGAACATTGAGCTGACTTAAACAAATAAAGATTACGGATTTCAGTAGCAGAGAATAAAAGAAAGAGGATAAGAATAATAATAATAAAAATAACAATTGTTGTGCTAGAAAAATAAGACTATATATACAAAGAACGTATATATGATATATTTCCTTTTGATGTATTTATGTTTTCTTTGAATCAAAGCATATTATTTTAGTATAAAATCTGAACTAGAAGACTGAGACAATACATGAAAGGAAATAATTAATTGTATAACAATAAACAATTTACAAAAAGAGAAAATGTAAATATAGAAGCTTGAGTTTTAAGGAAAACAAAAATATAATCTGATTATAAAACATTTTTCTTTTTTGGCAATTCAGCCTATAGTACGAGGAAGACTTTATTAGAAATAAAATAATAATAATAATAATAAAAAGATACCATGATCTCTCAATAATATCCTTAAACCAGACATTGATTTAAAATTTGTGTAAAAATGTAAGCTCACTCTCAAAGGTATTTATCTATTTATAAATTTGTATAGCTAACCCTTACCTTATATTTTTTAAATACTTTCAAGATATCCACGTGATGACATAACCGAATGTCTTTGCAAGTATCATCTCGAGCAATTTTCCTACCCATTTCTTGAACCAAGTCATGCATTGTTATTTTATTGTAATATGTCATAGACGCCAGACACTTATCAATAAGAACTTGTATTCCTTCCCTTGTAGAGATGTCACAAACATTTAGGATTTCTATCACTGAATCTATGTGTTCCCCTTTAAAGAAACATGCAATATCTAAAAATAAATCCTTCTCCTCTTTCTCAAGTCCATCATAACTAACTCTTAATACTTTATTAATATCCAAAGGAGGACCATTTTCTAGTTTTTTTATTGCACTTTCCCAAAATTCTTTTTCCCTGGAAAACAAATAAGAACCCAACACTTTAAGAGCCAAAGGAAGACATTTGGCATATGAAATTGCTTTGTTCGAGAGCTCCATATAATCTTCAGGAGGAGAGTCTTGTTTAAAGGCATAGTGATTAAAAAGTTGATGAGCTTCCTTCTCTCTTAATCCCTCAACCTTGTATATATAAGCATCATCTACTCCACAATTTCTCAACACTTGTTTATCCCTTGTTGTTATGATAATTTGACTTTCTGAGCTCAACCAATTAAGATTTCCGATCAAATTTTCTATTTGCTGTAAAGATGTCACATCGTCAAAAACAATGAGAACCTTCTTATCTTTAAGTCTTTCTGTTGTGAAGGTGAGTCCTATATTGGGATCTCTATCCTCTAATATTGTGGAAAGAATTTCTTTTTGCAAGTGAGTTAATCTACTACTTTTCTCCGACTCTTCCCTTACATTTTCAACAAAATAGGATCCTTCAAAATGACGCAAAATTTTGTTGAATACAACACAGGCAATAGTTGTCTTGCCAACACCACCTATGCCCCAAATTCCTATTATGAAAACACCATTTGATTCCTTATGCAACAAAGACTCTATTGCTTTTATGGCAAATTCTATTCCAATCAGGTCCATATAATCACTTGGAGACAATTTATTTAGTCTCATCAAAATATCGTCCAAAAATTCATCTATAAATTTAGATTCAGACCTAAAAATAAACAACAAAACAAATTTTAATCAGTTAGAAATTATGTTTATTTAGGTTTCATTCAATTTAAGCGTTAGTAAATGTTTAGTACAATAACAGAATTAAAAAAAAGCGAAGTATTTGGAATTAAAACTCACTTTTGATTATTTATATTCCAGCCAGCAAGACTAGCTGCTTCATTCAAAGCAGTCTTCCATCTCTGCAGCATCTCTAGTTTCTCCTTAGTACGGTTTTCAAGCTCAGCAAATCCATCTCCAAAACTCCCAGTTTGATTCCTTACATCTGATGGATCTACGTGATAGAAAACCGGTATAACAATCTGCTCCTTTATTTTCTTACAGTGAAGGATTTGTTCGAGTTCTTGGAGGCACCATCTAGAAGATGCATAATTTTTTGAGAAAATGATGACTGAAATCTTTGATGCTTTAATGGTATTCAAAAGAAATGATGAAATTTCATCTCCTCTGACAATTTGGTTATCAATGAAAGTACTAATCTTTTTACGACACAAAGCCGCATGGAGATGGCTTGTGAAACCGTTGCGGGTGTCCTCGCCTCTAAAACTAAGAAAGATATCATACTTCTTTGAACGATCATGGTGGAAGAGAAAGAACCAGCCATCGACATCAATTGATGAAATGCTTTTTAGTTGTTAAGTAGACAAAATATTAATAACATTCTTCATCAATCAAAAACCACTTCATTAGAAAATAATTGAAGTAATTGAGAAATAAAAAATTATGATTTAATTATAATTCATTAAATTCCTAGTGATTCTAAAAATATAATTAAAATGATATATAAGCAATTAATAACAATAACGGTTAGAGACACTATTTACCTTTTAATTAGTCTTTGAAGTTTAGATCTAACACTCCAGCTACTGAAACACACTTTGAGACACTATAGGGTGCGTTTGGTTTAGTATTGGATAGGATTTTAGGGATAGTATTGGGTTATTGGATATGGGAGTATTACGAGGTAAATTTTAAAAATTTATAAAAAAGCCCTTAGGTTTACTAATTAAATAAAGACCTAACATGTAAAATGACCAAACACCCCCACCATCTGAGTGTCAGATTCCGGCCACCACCGCCGGAATCTGACCGGAAAATTTCGTTACGGCACGACTTGTCGGATCTGGCCGTAACACGTCGTTAGGCCTTTTCGGCTAGATCCATGGGGGATCTGGCCGGAAAAGGCCAGATCTACGGTTTGTATTGGCCGTCGACGCCGAAAAGGCCAAACGAACGGCCATCTTTAGCCGTCAGCGACGGCCAAAGATGTGGCCGTCGTTTCGTCAACGACGGCCAAGATTTGGCCGTCGTTGACGTCAACGACGCCATTTCTTTGGCCGTCGCTGACGGCCAGATCTGGCCTTTTCCGGCAGATCCGTGGTGGATCTGGCCGGAAAAGGCCACAACGGAAAACTTCCGGCCATTTCTGGTTGGAAGTTTGGCCGTTGTACAGATTCCGGCTATCACCGACGGTGGTTGCCGGAATCTGACAAGTTGGGTTAAGGGGGTGTTTTTGTTAATTTTTAAACTTTTTTTTCAGGGGGTATTTAGTAAAATTAATAACCTTAGGGGTTAAAATGTAATTAAAAAAAATAGGGTAATATTTTGAGAATATTGTACCAAACGCTATTTGAAAAATAGGATCCAGAATAGGGATAAAAATATTAACCGAACGCATACATAAATATTAGTAAATCTTCAACCAAAATTGACTATGTGTTCAGCCTGTTTGAAACATAGATGCATCAATTTCATAAAATTATAAAATAAAATAAATCAAAGAAAAAAACGAATGTACAAAAAAGCCAAGTCTATATGTTACCAAACTAACAAATGGATCTGAATGTTTTTAAATGAGATAGAATTACTCCTGAGAAAGTATGTGAAGCTAGATATAAACTAAAAGTAAAATTATTCAAAAGATATTTTCTAGAACAATATGATGAATATATTAAGTGATATTTCAAAAGAAATTAAAAAAAAAAAATGTGAAAAACTTACAGCTTTGAGAGTGTTTTTTACAAATGAACCGATGCAGAACTGCTTTATCCGATTTTCTCTCTTCTTTACTCACTCTCGAAAGAAAAAAGCTTGGTAAATTGTAGAAGAAATACCAGCAACCTTACAGGAAATTTGATGGAAATTTCATCACAATTATTAACTGATTTTTTTCAGTCTCTATCCTTTATTTCTGCTTTATCATAAGCTGTCTGCCCTTTTCTTTCTTGACTTTGACAGTGAGAATCTTAGGGACGGATTTTCTTTACTGAATTATTGCTATTAAGTTCATATAAAGCATGTGTATACATCAATACTTGCGCTACTAATTAATAATTTTATGAAAGACTCTGTGCGTGTTATAATTCACATTTTTTATTTTTATTTTTTATGGTAATGAGGGTGTCGGATCTAACTAATCTCTGAGGTCCATGAACACTCTACAAAGTTTTAAAAGATCAGATAGTACAATTTTAATGTGGTAGGTGCCCCAAAGTTTAAACCAAAAAACTCAAGAAGGAAGCTGTTGTGTGTGATTTTTCTATTAAGTCGGAGATGTCAGAAGCCTGTGAGGAATAGTTTGACTCAAAATCAGTTCGACTCAACACTTGTCTAACCCAACATTAGCTCACCAAAATATAGCTCGACAGCATAAGCTAATCGCGACCAAACCTGGCAATTATTCGACAAATCACAGATAAGCTCAGATCCCGAAATTTTAGAATGGAGAGATCAACAGCAATGATAACACACATTAGTGCTCAATCGTGAGAATATCGAGTTGCACTTTAAATTTGATGGAATCCCGATAATTTATCTCTTTCCTTTGTTAAATACTTGTATATAAACCCCCTCCAACAATGAGAGATGGGTAGAAATTTGTTCTAGGCACTTAATATTATTTTTGTAAGCTTCCTAAAGCAATAAGAAAAACAGGGGACATAGGCTTAAGTTCTAACTTATCGAACCACTTTAAAAACTGTTTGTATTCTTTACTTTAATGCATTCATACTATACAATACTGATTTTAATTAATATGCACACATTGGTTCTGATTCCATCAAGGTCAATCGGACCATTTTGATGGTGTAAATTTTGCATTAACAGGAGTAACCTCCTTGACCGCTAGATCAACCTCTTAGGGCTTATAATTCATATTATAGTTTTAGATGTTGTTTATTCGCTTGCTCACATATTTTAAAAGCAAAAAAGTACGCCTAGAGATTGCAGTTAACTTTGAAGTTATTCTTAAAAATTTTATGCATTTAGTTTCTCTATTGATGATTTTTTGCATAAAAATTGATGTTCTCAATCTTGTTTACTTTAAATTAATAAATGTGAATTTTTAAATTAATTCTCTTTTTTTTATCTCTTGTAAATTTATAATTTATCCACTGTGAGAAGAGTAAACGACCTTTTTTCCACCCAATAATAGCTTAATGAAACTTTCCATACAGACTTTAAAATATCACTAATACCCAAATTTATATTTTGTTTCCATTTGGCATCATTGCAACCTCACACCACCATAATTACCTTCCCTAATCATCACCCATTAAAACCCTTCAACCCTACTCCCATTGACCCGCGAATTGCCGACAATCGAGCAATTAGGGTTTGCATAGCCGTCCTTCTCAAGTCAAATTCTGATCAATTCCACCACTAAAATCCAACCTCCACTATCAAAACACTCATCGGTCTACCCTCTTCAAAAACCCTAACAACTTGAATGAGTTTGCTCTCTATCGTTATCGAAATATAAATTTGAGTAGTAAAATGGTATTTTAAAAGTCTATGGGTGGGAAAGTGTCATTAAACCATTATTAGGTGGGAAAAAGCACTAACTCCTTTGATGAAGGACAACTCTATTGGCTAGAGCTAATATAACGGGCCATGTACCTCGCAAAAGTGTGCTAAATTGGCCCGGTTATGGGTCTCATGCAATTTATTGAAGGGAAGTGACTCTTAGCTCCCACTATTTTCCTGTCTAACCCCATCTTCAATTTTAAGTGATGATATAATTGTAATAAAAAGAATATTCTTCTTTCTCCATTTTTTCGCTTCAAAGCTTTATATTTACAACTCTCAAAATTAAAAGTAAATTTAAATTAATCAAAATCAACAATAAAGCATGATACAAATCAATCAATGTTTCGTTATCTCACAAATATTAATTAATTTGTTTACAAAATCACTACCTTAACCCTCTTACAACCAAGTAATAGATTCAAAATCCTACGTTGACATAAGAAAAACCTATTTTCATACCCATTAAAACAAAACATTATTTATCATATAAATAGTGATTAATTTGTTTATGAAATCACAACCTCAAAGCTTTTACAATCAAATAATCACTTCAAAATCCCACATTGATAGGAGAAAACATGATTTGATACCCATTAAAACAAAACACCTGGTATCACAAATTTCAATTGAGGAAATTGTGTTTTATTGTTAATTAAAATTTATTTAATTTACTTTTAATTTTTGAGAATTATAAATATAAAACTTTGAAGTGAATAAAATTGAGGAATAAGAATAAATTATTTTATCAAAATTATAACCTCACCTAAAAATAAAGGTGGGCTAAAAAGGAAAACAATGGGGGCAAAAAACAATTCCCTTTATTGAAAAGAGTGGTGTTATTCATTATTAAATAAAATTAATTAAAAGAATTAACTTCTAAATATTTTATATTTTATTACAAAAATACCCTTCTATTTTATTCTTGTATCATTCCTTCTTAAATACTGCCTTCTAAAACACAGTATTAATCAAATACTCTCAACCTTAAATTAGTAATTGCCGGAATGATGCTGGACTGAAGTAAAAAGGTAGAATATGAGAAGGTTTTTTTTACGAACCATCATCTATCAATGCCAATTATAAATTCAAAGAAGAAGAAAAAGTTTATAAAAGCCATTAATTGTGGTCTTATTGTAGAGTCAACGAAAAAGAAATAAAAAGAAAAGTTTTTATTGAAAAACTTGACAAAATTTAATACTTTTGCTGCAATTCATAATCTTGAATTAAAATCACCTGTTTGAAAAATTGGTTATTATTAATATTTAATCTAGATGGTGGGGATATTTTAGTAATTTCAACTGATAACATACTTTTAATTAAAAAAAAAAAAAAAAATTGATAGATGGAGAATGGGGCTTAAATAACACTACTTTATTGAAAAATATCCTTGTCTATTTTACTTTTTACTTTTCATAAAGTGATTGTTACTATAACAGTATAAGATAATTGAAATTTATTTATTTCTTAAATAAATATTTAGATCAGTTTTAGATTGTTTATTCATTACAAACCAAATTCTAATAAAAATTTTATAAATAAATTTTTTATCATTTTTTAAATGTAGTGTAAAGTAGTGGCGGGTCAAACTCTGGTCAATGCTAGTAGACTCGCGTTGATCACAGTTGATTAGTGTTTGACTCTATTCTAATTCTTTTATTAAAAAAAATAATAAAAAAAAAAAAAAAAAAAAGAAGCTATCAGATTTTTTCTTAAGATGATTTTACATATGAATAAAAGATTAATAAATTCATGGTAAAATTTTTCCTCCATTAAATTATCTTTCAGTTTTAAAAATTATTTTAACTTTATTGAATAAGTGCATAAGATTTAGAGTTTATGATACAAAAGTGGGGTGTTAAAAGCATTAATAACGAATAACGAATTAAAGAAGTTTAATAATTTAATATAGAGGTAATATGTAACTATAAAAAATATTAAAAGGTGTGGCTTTTTTAGTCCAATAAAGGGCGGCAAATAGAACAATTAAAATCTAAAACGACACCAATGGTCCAAATGACTCAATAGGAATCATGGCTACCGAGAGTTGCGGATATCGATTATTTTAAAATAATTTAATTAATTGATTTAAATTAATCATTTCAATTTTAAGTTAAATCACTAAAAGTGTTTGGTAAACTATTTTTCAATATGATTATAATTGGATGTGATTATTTTAGAATCAATTTTATAAAAGGTTTCAAAACCTAGACCGGGTAGCTTTTGAAAATATTTTTTTCTTAAAGTTGATTTTACACATAGAATGTCAAATATACCTTTACATATGAATAAATATCTCATGGCGTTTGACCATAAGAGGCATTTGAGTTATTTGTGTCTATAGTTTATATCTTCTGTTAAACATAAACATAATTAGTTTGAATTATTAGTTTGAAATGCTTTTTAGTTCTGTTAAGTAGACAAAATATTAATGACATTCTTCATCAATCAAAAAACACTTCATTAGAAAATAAATTGAAGTAATTGAGAAATAAAAAATTTTGATTTAATATATAATTCATTAATATTCCTAGTAATTATAAAAATATAATTAAAATGATATATAAGCAATTAATAACAATAACAGTTGAGACACTACCTATCTTTTAATTAGCCTTGAAAGTTAAGATCTGACACTCCAACTACTGGAAACAACTTTGAGACACTATAAATATCAGTAAATCTTCAACCAAAATTGATTATGTGTTCAGCTTGTTTGAAACATAGATGCATCAATTTCATAAAATTATAAAATAAAAATAAAATCAAAGAAAAACAGAATGTACAAAAAAGCCAAGTCTATATGTTACTGAACTAACAAATGGATCTGAATGTTTTTGAATGAAATGCAATTGCTCCTGAGAAAGTATGTGAAGCTAGATATAAACTAAAAGCGATTGCATTGTAAAATTATTCAAAAGATATATTTCTAGAACAATAATGATGAATATATTAAGTCATATTTCAAAAGAAATTAAAAAAAAAAAAATGTAAAAAACTTACAGCTTTGAGAGTGCTTTTTACAAATGAACCGATGCAAAACTGCTTTATCCGATTTCTCTCTCTTCTTTACTCACTCTCGAAAGAAAACTGCTTGGTAAATTGTAGAGAAAATACCAGCAACCTTACAGGAAATTTGATGGAAATTTCATCACAATTATTAACTGGTTTTTTTTTTCTTAGTCTCTATCCTTTATATCTGCTTTATCATAAGTTGTCTGCCCTTTTTCTTTCTTGACTTTGACAATTGAGAATCTTAGGGACGGATCTTTTCTTTACTTTGAATTGATTGCTATTAAGTTCATATATAAGCATGTGTATACATCAATACTTGAGCTACTAATTAATAATTTTTATGAACAACTCTGTGCGTGTTATAATTCACATTTTTTAATTTTTATTTCTTTTGGTAACCAGAGTGTTCGGATCTAACTAATCTCTGAGGTCCATTGAACACTCTACAAGGTTTCAAAAGATCAGATAAGTCACAACTTCAATGTGGTAGATGTCTCCAAAGTTTAAACCAAAAAACTCAAAGAAGGAAGCTGTTGTGTGTGATTTTTCCATTAAGCTCGGAGATGTCAGAAGCTTGCGAGGAAATAGTTTGACCCAGAATCAGTTCGACTCAACACTTGTCTAACCCAACATTAGCTCACCAAAATATAGCTCGACTCAGCATAAGCTAACCGCAACCAAACCTAGCAATTGTTCGACAAATCACAGATAAGCTCAGATCCCGAATATTTCAGAATGGATGAGATCAATAGCAATGATAAGACAATCTTGGTGCTCAATCACGAGAATATCGAGTTGTACTTTAAATTTGATTGTAATCCCGATAATTTATCTCTTTCCTTTGTTAAATACTTGTATATAAACCCCCTCCAACAATGAGAGATGGGTTAGAAATTTGTTTTAGGCACTTAATATTTTTTTTGTAAGCTTCCTAAAGCAATAAGAAAAACAGTGGATGTAGGCTTAAGTTCTAACTTGTCGAACCACTTTAAAAACTGTTTGTTGTTCTTTACTTTAATGCATTCATATTCATTACAATACTGATTTTAATTAATCATGCACACATTGATTCCGATTCCATGAAGGTCAATCGGACCACTTTGATTGGTGTAAATTTTGCATTAACAGGAGTAAACCTCCTTGACCGCTAGATCAACCTCTTAGGGCTTATAATTCATATTTCATATTATAGTTTTAGATGTTGTTTATGTAGTAAATTAGTAAAAGTGTTTGGTAAACTATTTTTCGATATGATTATAATTCGATGTGATTATTTTAGAATCAATTTTATTTATAAAAGGTTTCAAAACCTAGACCGGGTAGCTTTTGAAAATCAATTTTTTCTTAAAGTTGATTTTACACATAGAATGTCAAATATACCTTTACATATGAATAAATATCTCATGGCGTTTGACCATAAGAGGCATTAGAATTATTTGTGTTTATAGTTTATATCTTCTGTTAAACATAAACATAATTAGTTTGAATTATTTGTGATTATCTTCTGTTTAAGCTTAATAACTCTGCATGATTATATCTTCTGTTTGCCTTCAACAAAGTCATCTAGACAATTTATTTTCTATGTTTGATTTAAAGGTCTATGTTTGATATATTTTCTCAATTTCATCCTTTAAATATTAGTACAAACGATTTATTTGAGAAAAGAAATCTTCATATATAATCTCAGATGAAAATTACAAAATAATTGAAAAAGACCTAATAATATCATAAATATTATATTGTAATATCGGAGTTCACAAAAATAAAGAATATAGAGGGAAAGACTTTTTAATTTCCTCTGCTTTACTCATTACTTTATAGCTGGTAACAGTATTATGTATCTTGTTGAGGAAACAATTTTATAGAGTCTTATAGGAAACAGTACTTTTTTTTTTAATTTATTTATAGAAATTAACACATGAAACAGACCTAAGCTTCTCAAGGCAAAGGAGAAACTAAATTTATTGATAAAAAAAACAAACTTTCTGAAGATAAGAAATTAATATTCAAAGACCAATTGCTAGAGACAATGTTACTATCACACTTCTCTTTCATTTTTTTTTTAATTAACACTTTTTTCCACCCAAATAATGGTTTAATGACACTTTTTCATCTATAAACTTTTAAAATACCACTTTTCCACCTAAAAAGAAAATCACTTTCCAATTCGGCAACGAATGGAGAGCAAACTCAGTCCATACTATTGGAGATTTTGAAGAGAGAAGACCAGTGAATCTTTTAGTGATGGATTGTTGGATTTTGATGGTCGTGATTAGTCTTAATTTGACTACGGAGGGACGACTATGTAAACTCTAATCGCTCGATTGCCGGTGATTGGCAACATTAGTAAGAGTAAGGTTTGAGGGGTTTCAATGAGTGATGATCGGAAAAGAAAATGGTGATAGTATGGGTTAAAACGATGCTAGAACCAATGATGGGCATGGTAGGTGAGAAAGTGTCATTTGGGTGAGAAAATGATATTTTAAAGTCTATGAGTGAAAAAATGTTATTATACTATTATATGGGTGAGAAAAAGTCAGTTTACTTTTTTTTTTAACTATAATTAACTCGCTTCCTGTAGGAAGATTCATGGCAATTTCGTGACAAATAATTAACTAGTTCTTTTTCTCTAATATATCTGCATTAATATCTATTTTATTAGAAATTGTCAGCCCTTTAACGAGTATGCGTTTAAACCGTGAACATGTTAACCAATTAAAAGTGGCTCTCCCAGAAATATACGAGGGACTGATTTCATATGTTCCTCTTTCAATACATTTGCTTTAATTTCTTTACTTGAAAACATGTCTGCCCACTTCACTTTGTTTCTTCGATTACATATAAGTGATCATTGGACAAATTGAATACATAGTTAAATATATAAGTGATTAAGAGATTAAGATTTTAAGTTAAAATTCTAAATTTAAATATCACAAATATATATATATATATATGCTAAAAATCGTATTGGATCTGACGAGGTCCAATAATATTATAAATGCGTCACGGCCCAAGGCTTTTCCCCAATTCCGATTAAGCTCATGCTTAGGATACTTTGTGAACTACCTACTCTATGAGTTTGATCATCCCATGTGTTAAGCTGAACTAGGTCCAACCTATTCACCCACAGTAGTCCACAATTAGAATCAGAATCCTAATCAATTTCCTCTTTTAATAAGATCCTCAATCTCACCCAAAGAGGAAAGCCTAAATCGATAAAGGCAAGAAATTTAATCTCCTTCCAGAAGGAGAACTCTTCCACTAAGGTAGGATTCACAATCCTACTAGGATTTGGACCTCTTTAGTTTACTATATAAACAAAAGGTAAACCCTCTTATTAGGCATTCAAAAATCATCCCTAAGTTCTAGTATTCTTACTCCCAAGCTCTTTACATATTCCAACGATATCCCGACGTTACTAAAGCCCCCTCAACCGCAAAGGCACCTTCCACAGGTTTATCAAGATTGTCAGTGGCTCGTATCACAAGATTCTATCTATATATATATATATATATATTTCGTTTTTTTTTTTAATATTATCCCACTTGTCTTTCATTTATTTTATTATTTTTAGATATTTGGGTTGTGGTTAATAAAAATGATTAAGATATATGTTATATAAAGAAGTCAAGCACATGTTTAATTCAAGTGTGGATCAAAATTCCAAGTCTTTGTCCACTGTTATTACATTCCTTCTAAAAAAAAAAAAAAAAAAAAAAAAAAACATGAGAGTCAAATAACTTTTACATAATGCATTTGCCAAAAGGCCACAAAAGAAGTCTAGTTACTTTAACGAGCTAATTTTATAAACAATAACCCTAGACCCACAACCTAATCTCGCAACCTCTGACGTGATAATTCGAAATTAGTCAGCTCGCAAATGGGTCATGTCTGCTTACTATGAGTCTCGTCTGCCTATTTGCGAGTTGTTATGTCGGAAATTGTGAGATTGGGTTATAGACCTAATATTACTCTTTTATAAAATATGAATTGTAAACATTATAAAATATAATGTTTTTTTTTTTTTTAAGTTTGAATGGGTTGTAAATCTAGTATTACTCTTTTATAAAATATGAATCTTGCTAGATAGTCCTCTCACAAGATGAGTTTTGATATGGGCCCAATCGGAGTTAGGTTGTGGCATTGAGCCTTAAGCTTTCGGGTCAACTGGAGTTGGGCTTTTGGCATGAACCCAACCAAAGTTGGATTGTGGTATAAAGCCATCTGCTATTGGACCAACTAAAGTTGGGCCTTGACGTGAAGCCTTTTGCTATAGGGCCAACCAAAGTTAGGCCTTAGCGTTGAGCCTTTTGCTATTGGATCTGTCAGGAATCTGATATTGATTTTTGCATCTACAACGAAAAAAAAAAAAAAAAAAAAGTATTTTTAGAGACATCCTATAAAATTGGAATGATACAGAAGATTAGCATAGCCTGCACAAGGTTGACACGTTTATTCTCTCTAGCTTCCTGCTTTAAAGCTTAAGTTCAGTTTGTATTTTTTATGCTAAGTTTTTCTTTGAACACAGGGTTTTTCATGGCAACAAGTAAAATTAAAAGTATTTTACTATTTTTAAAGTTAATTTTGTATCTTTGGTGGAGTTCTTGATGATTTACTAGTTTTAATCTACTTGATAAAAGTTTCTTATATAATCGGTGTTGGTGTGATATTGATATGTTTCTTGAGAAAGCTTCTTGATGATTTCCTAGTTTTATCCATTTCTTAATTTTGAGTAAACATTAATTTTATAGAAGAATCCTTGAGTTAGTTGGATTACGATTTAATGGTTTAGATAGGATTATGTTACTCCAATTACATAAAATAATTCAAATATGTAGTAAAATAAGTGTCAATGGATAATATATAAAGAGAAATATACTCTATTTAATTGTATTTATTTGACATAATTGAACCAACAAATACCAAAGCAATATCAAAATTGCATTTATTTACATAAATTGGTGCTGGGTAGAGTCATGGCAGCTAAGGTTTGAGAGTGTTAGCAATGTTGATGACAAATCGATAACAAATCCATAGTCATTTTTGACCATATGATAATCAAAATGACAAATCCCACAATAAAGAATCTTCATTGTTATATCATTCTTACCATTTGCCCTGCATTATTAATTGCGCAAAAAATCATACCCATTGACAGAGTTAGGATTTTGTTTTAGCGGGTAACTTGAGAGTATAAATAAATGTTGGCTATATGGATTGATACTATTTTCGTAAAACAAAATAAGGCGTATTTTACCAAGGGATTGACAGAACTTACCAGGGTCAGTGAGGGGATGAGCCCCCACTACCCATTAGTGACTCTTCTCCATGGTCATACCCATTTGATATATCATGTGTAAGAAATTAAGAACAAAAATGAAAAGAAAAAAAAAAAAAGAATTATTTTTTCCAAGTTAAAATGCCACCTTCTATTGAAATGGAAAGGATGAAGAATTCCTAAAGAATCGGAAGCTGCCCATCCAAAAGCTCTTTGCGTTTGCGTTTGCGTTTGCTAAATAAATAAATAAATGGTGGATATGAGTGGGTGAGGTCGAAGGTGTTTATATATTTTGTTGAGGATGATTTTGCAGTTGCGTTTGTTTATATTTTAGTTTTAAAGAAAGTTTACGTAATGAGGTATGTCAATTGGGACGTCAAGGGTGAGTATTTAGTAATCAATCATGTTGAACATAATAGTTCCATGAAATTTCAACCAAATTAGTTGTCTAATCTTGAATATTATTTCTTAATTAAATAACTTTTACCTTTCTTCATTAGGCTTAGCTTACCTCCTTCACAAGAAATAATAAGAATTTTTCTATGTCAATCATTTACTGATAATTACTGTTATTTTCGTTTTTAAAATTGTTTTCGGGTCACTATTTAAGAATATTTTAAATGATGAAAAAATCGTTTATTTCAGAATATTGCATTAAAAAATATTAATAACATCAATTTTTTTCGCAAATACTTTAAGAAAAAATATTTTTTTTCACAAAAACAGTTTTGTTATACTGAATTTATATTGATTTGTTTTTAAATTTGTCATTAATTTTAATAAAGTTAATTATGTCTACATTTGGTGTGATTATTTGGTTCTAAACTACTTTGTACAGTTACAAAAAATCTTACCAATTAATTGAATGCATTAAATATATNACATAATCATCTCTGAAAACGACGGATGAAATTAACACAATTATAAGTTATATTTGGTTGATGCTGGAGTTTGACACCAACTACTCTCACCTGTAAGATACTAAGCAAACTTAGAAGTCACACGCAATATGGGGATATTAACTTAAATAATGTGTGAGAGGAAATATTTAAAGTGGTTCGGATGCTAAAAAACGAATCCTACGTCCACTGCTATTGTTTTAATACAAGTAAAGTCAGGTCACATTTAGCGAGCTGGGTTACAGTTTAGAGAGAGAGAGAGAGAGAGCTATTTCAGAGTAAAATTAGTCAATCCCTGCAAATGAAAGGGAAAACCTCTATTTATAGTGGGAGAGTTCAAGGTAATGATTATAAAATCTGTAATTAGGTAGGTGCCATGCAAATCCTTCTCTACGTCTCATTGGTTACCTGCCCGAGAGATTTCCTCTACTCGTGCAGAATTTGGACACGTGGATGATCTCCAACCGCTTGCAAATCTGGCAGTCACCTACTACGCTAATAGGAACCATGCCACTTGCGCCATTGCGCATGACTGCACCTGGACAATACAAAACTTTCTTGAGCTCTGATTGACCCTTACTGACAAGATTCTACGTTAACCCTACCTTCAGGCATAACATATTCAAATACTGTAGCTTTATGTATAATTCACAAGTTCACATAACACATAAATATATTAGTAATTAAATTCAAAATTATATATGTATAATATTGTAAAAATATAATTGTTGTAAAATGCAATGGATTGTTATGAGTGATTTTTTGAAATTGAAAATTTAAGGCTTATTATGTTACCTCCCTTTGATATTTGGGGGAAATATCAACAAACTCAAAGGTATTAGAAATCATCTGCTACCTTCTCTCACATTTAATAAAATCATCACTTACCTCTCTCTTGATCATATTCATAGATTTGCTTCATGTCATAACTAACGATAAACGAATCGGCTTCAAGATGTTGAATTGCTTCATTCTTTTTGCCTGGTGAAGTGCTTATCACAGTCACCTTCATTCCTAATGCTTTGGCAAATTTAACTGCTAGATGACCTAACCCACCAAGACCAACCACACCCACATGCATTCCAGGTTTTTCGAGTCCATAGAATTTCATGGGACTAAACACTGTAATCCCTGCGCCAAGTAACGGCGCAACACCCCCTGCAGAAAGATTTTCAGGAATAGAAAAGGCAAAAGTGTTGATCAACAATAAGAATATCAGAAAATCCTCCATAGTTTTTATCCCCACCATCATCAAAGATTGTGCTGGTGTGGATCCTTTTAGGGCAATAGTTTTCCAACTCATTTTGACACTGATGATAGCTGCCACATGAGCCGATTATACCTCCCACTCCTGCCTTTTCTTGTACTTCGAATTTTTGCACTTTGCTCCCCACTTGAGTTACCACACCAACAATCTCATGCCTGTGAAATACAAAGAAATAAATCAAACTGGGTATGATTTTAGAAGGAAATTTTTCTGAAGGGATTGGTTTTAAGAACATTAACATACCCAGGAACAATGGGGTAGGAAAAAATTCCGAAATCGTTCTTGATTAAATGCAAGTCAGAATGACAAATCCCACAATATAGAATCTTTATTGTCATATCATTGTGTCCATTTGCCCTGCAGTTTAACCGGTAAAACTGAACCCATTTGGAATTTGAAATCATAAAAACACAAAGAAGAATGAGGTATAAATGGACCTTCTAGTGAAATGGAAAGGATGAAGAATTCCTGAAGAATCTGTAGCTGCCCATCCAAAGGCAATTTGACGAGAATTCTCTTCTTGCAATTCTGACATTTTAGTGTTAGAGATGAATATAAATTTCAATCTGGGTTTTTTTTTGTTGGCAGCTCTCTTATTTGTTTAGACTTTGGTTGGATAGTGACCATGGCGGCTACATTGCCTCTTTCACAAGAACTAATTAATTAATTAATGATCATTCTCACTGGGCATATGTAATATAATTTCACTTTGACCGTAGCTTGTTTATACTTTTTATTTTTTTATATTGTTATTATATGTTGATTGTTGTTTCTATATGATAATGTTTTGTTTATTTGGAATGGTATTTATTTTTAACATAAATATTATATTATATGTTAATCTAATTATTTATCACTAAAATAATTTGGAAAATAAGGTGGGTTTAGTGACATATATATAAAGTAAAATTTATCAAGTATCAGCAAAACCAAATTGTGTATATTTTAACTTAGTAAATCTCAATTCAACTAACACCAACCCTAATGAAACAAAACTTAACCAATCAACAAAAGCAATTTCATTTACTTGGGTAGAGTTGTTTTCTAGCTAAGGATTGAGCGTATTTGCAATGTCGATGACAAATCGATAACTAACATCTCCTTTAGCAAGACGATCCATGGCTTTATTTACATAATCCGTTGAAATAACTTCAACATTAGCAGTAATGTTATGTTTTGCTGCAAAATCTATCATCTCTTGTGTCTCCTTCATTCCCCCTGCCATGCTTGCTGATATTGTTCTTCTACCTGCAAGCATTAAATTTTTATAATTATGCCACCATCTTTATATGTAAATTTTAGTACATATTTAAACAAATTAAGAAGTTGAAATTGCAGGAAGCATGTGTTGCTTCTAACCAGAAAATAAAGGCATAATCGGTATCTCAATTGGCTTGGGCAAATCAGGTGGGGTTAACAATATTAGCTTTCCATTAAGCTTGAGAAGATTGAGTAATGGCAATACAGACTGAGTTGGAGAGATTGTGGCAATGATGCCATCCAGTGTACCCACAGCACCCTTCACCAATAAATAATTATTATAAGCAACAATTAACCACAAATAATAAAGAAATATCTTTCCAAACAAACTGATTACCTCCATTTGCTCCATGTCATGACTAACAACAAATGAATCAGCTTTAAGTTGTTCAATTGCTTCAATCTTTTTGCTCGGCGATGTACTAATCACACTCATCTTCATCCCAAACGCCTTCCCAAACTTTACTGCAAGATGGCTTAATCCACCAAGACCAACCACACCCACATGCATTCCCGCCTTGTCCAGTCCAAAGAATTTCATGGGACTAAACACTGTGATTCCTGCACAAAGCAATGGAGCAACTCCCTCTAATGCCAGATTTTCAGGAACATGGACTGCAAAGTGTTGTTCAACAACAAGAATGTCTGAATATCCGCCGTAGTTTTTATCTCCGCCATTGTCGAAGATTGTGTAGGTGGTGATGCTCTTAGGGCAATAGCTTTCCAAGTCGTTTTGGCAACCATCGCAGCTGCCACATGAACCTATAAAACAACCCACTCCTGCCTTATCTCCAACTTTGAATTTTTGCACTTTGGCCCCCACTTGGATCACCTCTCCCACAATCTCATGTCTGTAATAATACAATTATTCTTCAGAGTGTAATGAAATTTGATAATGGGAAATGAAAGAGAGGGTAAGAATTAATTTACCCGGGGAGGACAGCGTAGAGAGAAATTCCATAAGTATTATTGACAGTGTCGAGATCAGTTCGACAAATCCCGCAATAAAGAATCTTGAGTGTTATATCATTCTCACCATTGGCCCTGCATACTTAATTGCAAAATTATAAAGGAAACAACAGAAAGAAATTAAAAAAGAAAAATGTTGGGGCATCCATGCACCTTCTAGCGAAATGGAAAGGATGAAGAGTTCCTGAAGAGTCGGAAGCTGCCCATCCGAAAGCTCTTTGTGCTTGATTTTCTTCTTCAAATCCTGACATTTTGATTAGTGAATAATAAGTATGTAGTAAATATGCATGAGAAGTTGAACTTAAAGAATGTTTGTATATTTTAATTTCAGAGACTGTATTTATAGTTTAGTTTCGTGTGATGAGGCATGTCAATTTTGACATTAAGGGTGAGATTTGCAAGTCAAATTCTATGTTTGTACTTGTTCAAGGTTAAAAGAAAAAAAAGGGGGTTTAAGATTTGGTTAGCAATTGTTGGTTTGAACTTGAAGGGTATTTCTTAGTATTTAAAATGCCAGAATCTTAACTGTCAGACAATAAACTCATGGTGGCCAGATTAAGTATTTCTCTTACAATTCAGATTTTACAATTTATTTACTATCCAACATTAACCCACATAAAGATAAAATTGATAATTCATTGGTATACATAAGGATAAAACAGATAACTCACCTATAATATTTCTCTTATATAATTTATTTTTAGGAGGCTTACGTAAACCTTTCTTTATGAAGCATGTTTAACATGATGGTAATCCTATTTAATTCAACATAATTAGATGTGAAAAGTTGAATATTCTTAATTAGACAACTTTTAATTGTCTTCAATAGGCTACCTCTTTGACAAGAAATAGTTTGAATAGTCAAATGTTGATCCTTTACTGATAATGACTGCCATTTTCGTGTTTATTAAAATTATTTTTGTGGATAATAAAAACTGCAATTTATTACAGAATATTGCATTAAATTAAGATAAAAACATTTAAATTAGAATAACACCATTCAATATTACTTTATACAATCACAAGAAGTCTTACCAACGAAATACACATAATTCTTTTTTTTTTTTTTTAATATAATCTTAATTTTTGAAAGATCAATAAATAAAATTATTTTGCTATCAAATATATAGAAATAATTAGAAGACTCTTCCTAATATAATGGGTAGAGTCAATTGATTATAATTTTTGTTTTTTTAACAAAATATATAAGTCTAGCACAATGTTATTGACTCTTATCAATTGTCAGATTTTAATATAAACATTATGATCAGAGCTGATATTACTTCGTTAATGGAGATGATCTAGTCAAAGTGATGAAAATTTCAAATTATATTAAATTATTTTCGTTTTGATTATATATATTAAATTAATTATATGCGAATATGATTTAAATATAAAATTAAATTCAGTGAAATTATAATAACATGCATCAGTCTTGTCACAAAAATAAATTCTTTGAAGGAGAACAATTTAATTACATAGACGAAATTAATAAATTTAGTTTTAAAAAAGAAAAAATAAGGCCCGATACATTAGGCCCAAGGTTTAGCATTATGGGGCTCCAGGCCCATTGTCAACAACCCGGGTACTAGTCGTGACGAATTTACTCAATTCATTAACGTAACGTGTACAATGAGTTATATGGTTAGAAACCAACTCTCCCACATTGTCTAGTTGAAAGAACAGCGGCATATTTATAAGAAAAGAGAAGGCAGCTAGGGGTTGTCTCTTCGGAGACATCCGATAAAATTGGAACGATACAGAGAAGATTAGCATGGCCCCTGCGCAAGGATGACACGCACAAATCGAGAAATGGTCCAAATTTTTTTTCATCTTTCTCCTTTGAATTTTTCAACTGTGTTTCTGCTTCTGGGTCTGGATTTTTCAACTGTGTTTCTTTCTGCTGCTGGGTTTGGTTTGAATTTTGATGGTTACATGCTAAATTTAATGTTTTTTTTAATGGGTTTGTGTTTCTGACTTGAATTTGAACTGGGTTCGAATTTTTTTTTCTCTCAGAGTTTGGTATTGTTAGGGACAAAAATTGTCCTTGGCCCAAATAGGGAAACAGGACCACTAGTGAAGAAAAGACCAGGCCCAGTCCTAAAGAGGCCCAAGCTAGATCAGTCCCATTTGATACGAGATATCTGGGCACGGGCCCCCCAGTTCCAACTCACCTCCTGGGCCAATAGATGAGTTCGGGGGCCACGGCCCCCCATTGATCATTTTCCTGTTCCTGTTCAATCTCCTATTCGAAGTCACTTTCTTGTTCCTGATCACTTTCCTACTCGAAGTTACTTTCCTGATCAGAATCACTTTCCTAGCCGGACACTGGAAAGACAGCTTAACACGGCCCTAATTCATCTAGGGTTTGCATCAGAGTCACATTAGGACTCCTACTCCTACCAGGATTGGGAGACTAGACAGTCACTATATAAACAGAGGCCAGTCCTCTCACAAAGGACACCACATTACACCTTCACACCCGAAGCTCTTACGTGAGAGCTTCACTTCACCGCCGTAGTCACAGTCCCCGACTAGACTTCTGGTAATCTCTTACTCCCTAGCCCTCACTATATTAGCCGTTCAGCCTTGCTGACTTAAGTGTCGGAGTGCCTACGGCAAACGCCACTCCGGTTTTTCCCGTTCACTTCACGCGTGTGTTTCTCTACGTGTGCAAGTACAGCAGATCGCTGGTGGCCTCAACCTCGCGGGATCAAACCCCCCTTTCGTATAGGTAGATTTTTACATCTACAGTTTGGCGCCCACTGTGGGGCCTCTAGCAATCATTCGGCTCGACGAACTTTGCTACGTGGAGGAATACTCCATGGCTGACAACTCTGATAACGCTAATCCTGGCCTCGAGGCCAAACTGGAAGCTCTAACCGCTCTCATGCAACAGAACTTGGACAAGGTGGTTGCATTGGAAGCTGAGAACAATGCAATCCTGACGGAAAATGCGTCCGTCAGGTCAGAAAACCAATCCCTCAAGGAGAAGGTGAGTCAATTCTATGAACTAGAGTTCCTTTTCGGCCAAGTACCCCCCAATCGGTTTCGCGCCCTTGTCCCATCCATGCAACCACTCTCTACACCAGAGCATTAGCCATCAGCCTCCGGCAAAGGACCGCGTCCGTTTAGAGCACTGGCGCTTGACGACTCCGTTTTGACTAATGGAGACAAAGATATGCCAGCAGAACACCATCCAGCCGACCCATCCCAGCTTCGTGACCAAGATAGTCCGATAACAGAGAGCCCATGTCCACAAGACCAACCCATCCTTACCGTCCCGCACCACCTCCAGTCTACGACCCAACCACAAACCCCATTCGGCTCGGCTCACCCTCGCGGGTTGAATGGCCAAACCAAACCAACTCTAGCACTCGAGTTCATCCATCCTGACAGACCGAGCGACTACCAGTCGACTCCACTAACCATTCATGTAGGGCGGAACAATAGAACAGTGACAATGGGAGTCACCCAACCGGAAGGGATGAACGAAGATCCATGCTACCAAGGAGTGCACGATAGAATGATCTATCAGACTATCCCCCGAGGGATGACCCAACGGAATGTGCCGAAAACAAGTGCAGTAGCAGACCCAGTAAGACAGGGTGACCCAGTAGTAAACCCCTCTCCTATGGAACAAGTACTGGCCAAAAGACTGGCCGATGTCGAGGCAGTGATGAGATGCATTCCAGGAATACCGGTCCCAACCAAGAAGAGCAGGCCTCATTGTTACGCAGATTCACCCTTCGTAGACGAGATCGCCCTAGCTGACTTGCCGCAGAAGTTCACTATACCCAACATGAAAATGTACAACAACACAGCCGATCCGGACGATCACATAGCCTCGTATAAGCAACGGATGTTCATCGTCTCGATACCCCGACCGCTTAGGGAAGCCTGCATGTGCAAAAGTTTCGGTTCGAGCTTATCCGGCCCAGCACTACAATGGTACACGAACCTCCAAAATGGATCCATCGATTCGTTCGCTCAACTCACCGACACGTTTGTGCAACAGTTCGCCAACAACAAGAAACTCGAGAAGTTGTCAGCCGACTTATACAGAGTATACCAGAGAAGGGGCGAACCATTGAGAGAATATGTCAGCAAGTTTAACAGAGAGAAGATTTCCATCCCAACATGCAACCCTGAGACAGTCGTAGATGCTTTCAGGAAGGGTCTCCTCCCGGACAGAGAGCTATACAAAGAACTCACAAAGCTGAGATGCACAACAATGGAAGACGCCCTGGCTCGGGCAGTGATCCAAATAAGGTAGGAGGAGGATGAGATCAACCGAACGATTCACTCCACATATGAACCAAGGCGAAGCGACAAGAAGCCAGAGCCTGGACCGATAGAACACCACTACCACCCTCCAGTACGCAATATGGGCAGAGTCAGGAAGCCTTATGATTGCCATCCCTTGAGAAATGGTAACAGGCAGTTCGGATCCAACCGACCCAAAATACCGGAGTACAACCTCAATGTCGAACCGACCCAGTTCGTAGCAATAATAAAAGGATTAGGATCCACCGTCAAGTGGCCTGGCAAGCTCCATCCCGAGGCAAGGAGAGACACAACCAAGTGGTGCGAGTTCCACAACGACCATGGGCACAACACCACAGATTGTATTGCCTTACGACTCGAGGTTGCCGCACTTCTGAAAACGGGACATCTCCATGATCTGCTTACTGACAAGGGGAAGAACACCATTAGCCAGAAAAGCTCCAAAGAACCCTCACCCCCTCCGCAGGAACCCACACCAAAAGGTTTCTGTTCGCTCATCTCTGGAGGATCAGAGATCAGCAGGTTAAGTTACTCATCGGCCAAGCGGTATGCTAGAGCCAACCACCACCATGAAGTCTAGTCCATCCATCCGGTCTCGCGGTCACACTCTCATCAGGTAATTCAGTTCGAAGATGACGAACCAATCACCCTGGCCTCCTCTCATCACAACGCTTTAGTCGTATCCCTGCAGATTGCCAACATCCTAGTGAAAAGGGTGTTCGTAGATGGAGGTTCGTCAGCAAACATCCTGTTCCTCGAAGCGATAAAAGCAATGGGACTAGAAGACGCAAACATCAACAGGCGACCGACACTGTTGGTTGGGTTCAGCTTGGAGTAGAAATACACTATTGGAGAGATAGTTCTCCCTATCTACGCTGGCGGAGTGAATAAACAGACTGTCTTCCTAGTGATCGACTGCCCATCTCCCTACAACGTCATTTTGGGCCGGCCTTGGATCCACGACATGCGGGCAGTCCCATCTACCTTCCACCAGACGATCAGGTTTCCAACCAAGTGGGGAGTACGAGAGATCAAGGGCGACCCCAAAGCTTCCAGAGACTGCTACAAGAACGCCTTCAAGAGCAAAGGAAACTCCTCATAGCAATTACAGTCTCATCTAACCCCTCGGACCGAGCCTGACCAACCGACCATTGAGGATTTGGATGAAGTGTAGATACATCCGGATGACCCCGAGAGAAAGACACATATAGGTTCCCGCCTCGAACCGAGACAAGAGAGAAGCTGATAGAATTTCTCAAACAGAACGAAGACTGCTTCGCCTGGTCCCACGCCGACATGACCGGAATCAATCCAGATGCAATGGTCCACTAGCTCAAGGCAGATCCAGATCACCCACCAGTGAAGCAGATGAGGAGGAAATTCGCACCTGAGCGAAACCAGATCGTCAATGAAGAGATTGAAAAGCTCTTGAGCAACGGCATGATCAGAGAGGTCCACTGGTGAATATAGCATAGGTTTTGTATATTATTAAGTATAAGAACATAATATGAATATCAAATTACGTCATGAAACATAAATGCTAAAGACATATCTCATGTTAAATTATAAAAAAAAAAAAAAAAACACAACATAGAATAATAAGTATATAAATCATACGAATAAATCATTCAATTAATTCTTAATTAATTAAAATGCAAAAAAGCTCATTTAATTCTTAATCTAAATTAAAAAGTAGAAAATACAATAAATAATAAATTAATGGTAAACTGATAGATAAATGGCATTTGCATCAAATTAATCAAGGATGGGATTGGATTAAATCCATTTCCTCCACTTAAACTTCCACCAAACAATATAAAATTGACTAAAGGAGACAATATAAACTTCCAACCCAGAAAAATCCAAAACAAATTTCAAGCAACAAAATATGTAAAAGAAAATATACTTACCTCAAAACACAAAGATGGTAGAAAGTTTTGCAACCCAAGCAAATATGTGACCAGATCTAACGACGAATAACAGAAAATCCTCCATAGTTTTTATCCCCACCATCATCAAAGATTGTGCTGGTGTGGATCCTTTTAGGGCAATAGTTTTCCAACTCATTTTGGCACTGATCACAGCTGCCACATGAGCCTATTATACCTTCCAATCCTGCCTTATCTTCTACTTTGAAGTTTTGCACTTTGTTTCCTACTTGAGTTACCACACCAACAATCTCATGCCTGTGAAATACAAAGAAATTGGGTATGGATTTTAGAAAAGAAAATTCCTGAAGGGATTGGTTTTAAGAACATTAACTTACCCAGGAAGAAATTCCGAAATCGTTCTTCATTTGAATATTCACTAATAAATTTCAATCTGGTTTATTAATCTATATTTTCTTGGCAGCTCTCTTATTTATAAATCTAGTTTTCAAGAAAAGTTATCTCATGACTGAGGTTGCTTCTGTTCAAAATATTTCAAATATATGATGACTTTGGTTGGAATTTGGATAGTGACTCGGCGGCTAGCTGCACCCTCTTTTTGACTACAAGATATAATTAATTAATTAAATAATGATCATTTTCTCCAAGTTCCAGAAAATGTTAAACCTTTAGCTTGTTTAAACTTTTTACTTTTGTACATGTTTTTTTTTTTAATATCGTTATTTACACATTGATTGTTGTTTTTATTCAAAATATTAATTCTACATGATAATGTTTTGTTTAATTATAATGGTATTTATTTTTAACATAAGACATTATAGTATAATACGTGTGTCCGTCTTTACATCACTGTCACTAAAATAATTTGGAAAGATAAATACTCAACGTATAAATAAATCTTATAGAAATTTATATACAAACTGATGTAACAAGAAATAAATGAATGAATGAAAATGATGAATTTGACTTTTTTTATTCGCTCTTTGCCATATCAATTTATATATAAATTTTTGTAAGATTTGTTTATACGTCTTCCATTATGTCTCCGCCCCTTTGCCTTTCCTAATTTGGGAGGTAAGGATCGATAACTTTAATATCAATAACAAATCTCTAATGACCAATTTTTTTTTTTAGCAAGGCAATTTATAGCTTATGCTTCATGTTTTTAGATAATATGTCAAATTTAAATGATAATTCATAATAATTTGTGTAAGAATGTTTCAAATTATATTAAATTATTTTCGTTTTTTCACATAACAAAGAAACTTTCAAAATTTTGATTATATATATTAAATTAATTATATGTGAATATGATATAAATATAAATTTAAGTTCAGTGAAATTATAATAACGTGCATCAGACTCTCACAAAAATAAATTCCCTGAAAGAGAACAATTTAATTACATAGATGAAATTAATAAATTTAATTTTAAAAAAGAAAAAAAGAAAAAAGCCTTTTAACGAATAAGGGCAGATACATTAGGCCCATGGTACAGCATTGTGGTGCTCCAGGCTCAACATTAACAACCCAGGTACTAGTCGTGCCGAATTTACTCAATTCATTAAAAGTCAACAGATCACGTGACGTGTATAATGAGTCTTATGGTCAGAAACCAACTAATCCCACATTGTCTAGTTCAAAGAACAGTGGAATAGTTATAAGTAAAGAGAAGGCAACGGTGCATTGTCTCTTCGGAGACATCCGATAAAATTGGAACGATACAGAGAAGATTAGCATGGCCCCTGCGCAAGGATGACACGCACAAATCGAGAAATGGTCCAAATTTTTTTTCATCTTTCTCCTTTGAATTTTTCAACTGTGTTTCTGCTTCTGGGTCTGGATTTTTCAACTGTGTTTCTTTCTGCTGCTGGGTTTGGTTTGAATTTTGATGGTTACATGCTAAATTTAATGTTTTTTTTAATGGGTTTGTGTTTCTGACTTGAATTTGAACTGGGTTCGAATTTTTTTTTCTCTCAGAGTTTGGTATTGTTAGGGACAAAAATTGTCCTTGGCCCAAATAGGGAAACAGGACCACTAGTGAAGAAAAGACCAGGCCCAGTCCTAAAGAGGCCCAAGCTAGATCAGTCCCATTTGATACGAGATATCTGGGCACGGGCCCCCCAGTTCCAACTCACCTCCTGGGCCAATAGATGAGTTCGGGGGCCACGGCCCCCCATTGATCATTTTCCTGTTCCTGTTCAATCTCCTATTCGAAGTCACTTTCTTGTTCCTGATCACTTTCCTACTCGAAGTTACTTTCCTGATCAGAATCACTTTCCTAGCCGGACACTGGAAAGACAGCTTAACACGGCCCTAATTCATCTAGGGTTTGCATCAGAGTCACATTAGGACTCCTACTCCTACCAGGATTGGGAGACTAGACAGTCACTATATAAACAGAGGCCAGTCCTCTCACAAAGGACACCACATTACACCTTCACACCCGAAGCTCTTACGTGAGAGCTTCACTTCACCGCCGTAGTCACAGTCCCCGACTAGACTTCTGGTAATCTCTTACTCCCTAGCCCTCACTATATTAGCCGTTCAGCCTTGCTGACTTAAGTGTCGGAGTGCCTACGGCAAACGCCACTCCGGTTTTTCCCGTTCACTTCACGCGTGTGTTTCTCTACGTGTGCAAGTACAGCAGATCGCTGGTGGCCTCAACCTCGCGGGATCAAACCCCCCTTTCGTATAGGTAGATTTTTACATCTACAGTTTGGCGCCCACTGTGGGGCCTCTAGCAATCATTCGGCTCGACGAACTTTGCTACGTGGAGGAATACTCCATGGCTGACAACTCTGATAACGCTAATCCTGGCCTCGAGGCCAAACTGGAAGCTCTAACCGCTCTCATGCAACAGAACTTGGACAAGGTGGTTGCATTGGAAGCTGAGAACAATGCAATCCTGACGGAAAATGCGTCCGTCAGGTCAGAAAACCAATCCCTCAAGGAGAAGGTGAGTCAATTCTATGAACTAGAGTTCCTTTTCGGCCAAGTACCCCCCAATCGGTTTCGCGCCCTTGTCCCATCCATGCAACCACTCTCTACACCAGAGCATTAGCCATCAGCCTCCGGCAAAGGACCGCGTCCGTTTAGAGCACTGGCGCTTGACGACTCCGTTTTGACTAATGGAGACAAAGATATGCCAGCAGAACACCATCCAGCCGACCCATCCCAGCTTCGTGACCAAGATAGTCCGATAACAGAGAGCCCATGTCCACAAGACCAACCCATCCTTACCGTCCCGCACCACCTCCAGTCTACGACCCAACCACAAACCCCATTCGGCTCGGCTCACCCTCGCGGGTTGAATGGCCAAACCAAACCAACTCTAGCACTCGAGTTCATCCATCCTGACAGACCGAGCGACTACCAGTCGACTCCACTAACCATTCATGTAGGGCGGAACAATAGAACAGTGACAATGGGAGTCACCCAACCGGAAGGGATGAACGAAGATCCATGCTACCAAGGAGTGCACGATAGAATGATCTATCAGACTATCCCCCGAGGGATGACCCAACGGAATGTGCCGAAAACAAGTGCAGTAGCAGACCCAGTAAGACAGGGTGACCCAGTAGTAAACCCCTCTCCTATGGAACAAGTACTGGCCAAAAGACTGGCCGATGTCGAGGCAGTGATGAGATGCATTCCAGGAATACCGGTCCCAACCAAGAAGAGCAGGCCTCATTGTTACGCAGATTCACCCTTCGTAGACGAGATCGCCCTAGCTGACTTGCCGCAGAAGTTCACTATACCCAACATGAAAATGTACAACAACACAGCCGATCCGGACGATCACATAGCCTCGTATAAGCAACGGATGTTCATCGTCTCGATACCCCGACCGCTTAGGGAAGCCTGCATGTGCAAAAGTTTCGGTTCGAGCTTATCCGGCCCAGCACTACAATGGTACACGAACCTCCTAAATGGATCCATCGATTCGTTCGCTCAACTCACCGACACGTTTGTGCAACAGTTCGCCAACAACAAGAAACTCGAGAAGTTGTCAGCCGACTTATACAGAGTATACCAGAGAAGGGGCGAACCATTGAGAGAATATGTCAGCAAGTTTAACAGAGAGAAGATTTCCATCCCAACATGCAACCCTGAGACAGTCGTAGATGCTTTCAGGAAGGGTCTCCTCCCGGACAGAGAGCTATACAAAGAACTCACAAAGCTGAGATGCACAACAATGGAAGACGCCCTGGCTCGGGCAGTGATCCAAATAAGGTAGGAGGAGGATGAGATCAACCGAACGATTCACTCCACATATGAACCAAGGCGAAGCGACAAGAAGCCAGAGCCTGGACCGATAGAACACCACTACCACCCTCCAGTACGCAATATGGGCAGAGTCAGGAAGCCTTATGATTGCCATCCCTTGAGAAATGGTAACAGGCAGTTCGGATCCAACCGACCCAAAATACCGGAGTACAACCTCAATGTCGAACCGACCCAGTTCGTAGCAATAATAAAAGGATTAGGATCCACCGTCAAGTGGCCTGGCAAGCTCCATCCCGAGGCAAGGAGAGACACAACCAAGTGGTGCGAGTTCCACAACGACCATGGGCACAACACCACAGATTGTATTGCCTTACGACTCGAGGTTGCCGCACTTCTGAAAACGGGACATCTCCATGATCTGCTTACTGACAAGGGGAAGAACACCATTAGCCAGAAAAGCTCCAAAGAACCCTCACCCCCTCCGCAGGAACCCACACCAAAAGGTTTCTGTTCGCTCATCTCTGGAGGATCAGAGATCAGCAGGTTAAGTTACTCATCGGCCAAGCGGTATGCTAGAGCCAACCACCACCATGAAGTCTAGTCCATCCATCCGGTCTCGCGGTCACACTCTCATCAGGTAATTCAGTTCGAAGATGACGAACCAATCACCCTGGCCTCCTCTCATCACAACGCTTTAGTCGTATCCCTGCAGATTGCCAACATCCTAGTGAAAAGGGTGTTCGTAGATGGAGGTTCGTCAGCAAACATCCTGTTCCTCGAAGCGATAAAAGCAATGGGACTAGAAGACGCAAACATCAACAGGCGACCGACACTGTTGGTTGGGTTCAGCTTGGAGTAGAAATACACTATTGGAGAGATAGTTCTCCCTATCTACGCTGGCGGAGTGAATAAACAGACTGTCTTCCTAGTGATCGACTGCCCATCTCCCTACAACGTCATTTTGGGCCGGCCTTGGATCCACGACATGCGGGCAGTCCCATCTACCTTCCACCAGACGATCAGGTTTCCAACCAAGTGGGGAGTACGAGAGATCAAGGGCGACCCCAAAGCTTCCAGAGACTGCTACAAGAACGCCTTCAAGAGCAAAGGAAACTCCTCATAGCAATTACAGTCTCATCTAACCCCTCGGACCGAGCCTGACCAACCGACCATTGAGGATTTGGATGAAGTGTAGATACATCCGGATGACCCCGAGAGAAAGACACATATAGGTTCCCGCCTCGAACCGAGACAAGAGAGAAGCTGATAGAATTTCTCAAACAGAACGAAGACTGCTTCGCCTGGTCCCACGCCGACATGACCGGAATCAATCCAGATGCAATGGTCCACTAGCTCAAGGCAGATCCAGATCACCCACCAGTGAAGCAGATGAGGAGGAAATTCGCACCTGAGCGAAACCAGATCGTCAATGAAGAGATTGAAAAGCTCTTGAGCAACGGCATGATCAGAGAGGTCCACTGGTGAATATAGCATAGGTTTTGTATATTATTAAGTATAAGAACATAATATGAATATCAAATTACGTCATGAAACATAAATGCTAAAGACATATCTCATGTTAAATTATAAAAAAAAAAAAAAAAAAACAACATAGAATAATAAGTATATAAATCATACGAATAAATCATTCAATTAATTCTTAATTAATGAAATGCAAAAAAGCTCATGTAATTCTTAATAAATTATAAAAGTAGAAAATACAATAAATATAAAAATGGTAAAACTGATAGATTAAATGGCATTTGCATCAAATAATCAAGGATGGGATTGGATTAAATCCATTTCCTCCACTTAAAATTCCACCAAACAATATAAAATTGACTAAAGGAGACAATATAACTTCCAACCAGAAAAAATCCAAAACAATATTCAAGCAACAAAAATATGTAAAAGAAAATATACTTACCTCAAAACACAAAGATGGTAGAAAGTTTGCAACCCAAGCAATATTGTGACAGATCTAACGGACGAATAACAGGAAACTCTCATGTTTTTTATCCCCACCACATCAAAGATTGTGCTGGTGTGGATCCTTTTTAGGGCAATAGTTTTCCATCATTTTGGCACTGATCACAGCTGCCACATGCGCTATTTACCTTCCAATCCGCCTTATCTTCTACTTTGAAGTTTGCACTTTGTTTCCTACTTGAGTTACCACACCAACAACTATGCTGTGAAATACAAAGAATTGGGTATGGATTTTAGAAAAGAAAATTCCTGAAGGGATTGGTTTAGAACATTAACTACCCAGGAAGAAATTCCGAAATCGTGCTTCATTGATATTCACTAATAAATTTCAATCTGGTTTATATCTATATTTCTTGGCAGCTCTCTTATTTATAAATCTAGTTTTCAAGAAAAGTTATCTCATGACTGAGGTTGCTTCTGTTCAAAATATTTCCATATAGATGCTTTGGTTGGAATTTGGATAGTGACTCGGCGGCTAGCTGCCCCTCTTTGACTACAGATATAATTAATTAATTAAATAATGATTCATTTTCTCAAGTTCCAGAAAATGTTAAACCTTTAGCTTGTTTAAACTTTTACTTTTTACATGTTTTTTTTTTTAATATCGTTATTACACATTGATTGTTGTTTTTATTCAAATATTAATTCTACAGTGATAATGTTTTGTTTAATTATAATGGTATTATTTTAACATAAGACCTTATAGTATAATACGTGTGTCCGTCTTTACATCACTGTCCCTAAAATAATTTGGAAAGATAAATACTCAACGTATAAATAAATCTTATAGAAATTTATTACAAAACTGATGTAACAAGAAATAAAATGAATGAATGAAATGATGAATTGACTTTTTTTTATTCGGCTCTTGCCATATCAATTTATATATAAATTTTGTAAGATTGTTTTATCGTCTTCATTATGTCTCCGCCCTTTGCCTTTCTAATTTGGGAGGTAGGATCGATAACTTTAATATCAATAACAAATTCTCTAAGACCAATTTTTTTTTTTAGCAAGGCATTTAGCTTATGCTTCATGTTTTAGATAATATGTCAAATTTAAATGATAATTCATAATAATTTGGTGTAAGATGTTTCAAATTAATTAAATTATTTTCGTTTTTCAACATAACAAAGAAACTTTCAAAATTTTGATTATATATATTAATAATTATATGTGAATATGATATAAATATAAATTTAAGTTCAGTGAAATTATAATAACGTGCATCAGACTCTCACAAAAATAAATTCCTGAAAGAGAAACAATTTAATTACATAGATGAAATTAATAATTTAATTTTAAAAAAGAAAAAAGAAAAAAGCTTTTAACGAATAAGGGCAGATACATTAGGCCCATGGTACAGCATTGTGGTGCTCCAGGCTCAACATTAACAACCCAGGTACTAGTCGTGCCGAATTTACTCAATTCATTAAAAGTCAACCAGTCACGTGACGTGTATAATGGTTATGGTCAGAAACCACACATCCCACATTGTCTAGTCCCCAGGAACAGTGGAATAGTTATAAGTAAAGAGAAGGCAACGGTGCATTGTCTCTTCGGAGACATCCGATAAAATTGGAACGATACAGAGAAGATTAGCATGGCCCCTGCGCAAGGATGACACGCACAAATCGAGAAATGGTCTAAATTTTTTTTTTTTCGTTCTCCTTTGAACTGGGTTTCTGTTTCTCGAGGTCTAATTTTTTTTTTTAATTTTTAATTTTTCTCTTTCTGGATTTGAATTTTTGAACTTTGTTTCTTGTTTCTGGATGTTTTTTTTTTTTTTTTAATTTTTTGAACTGGGTCTCCCTTACTGGTTTTGTATTGTTTTGTTTGAATTTTTGGACTGGGTTTGGTATATTGATGGTTGCATGCTAAATCTAATGTGTATTAAACCGTTCATTGCCGATTTATGTGCTTATTTTACATGCCAATAATTAATTGGGTATTGGGGGTTGTTTCATGCATTGAACTTGTTGGATTGACGTTTCTGAAATATGTTTGAACAGAATTTGGCCACCCTTTAATCTCTCAATGCATTATGTACTGTGTAAATCTCATTATGTGTTCCTTCGTAATTCAGAGCTTTAAACATGTCTGCAAAATCGAATCAAACCTTTCCTAGTACTGAAGAAATATTCAGGCCATGCACTTAGCAATTGTCTTGTTTTCTGTCCTGCTGAGATGAGATTAAATTAGAGTATGTCACTTTTCAGGCATATGCTACTGGATTTCTGCTGATTGCCAGAAAGACTTTTGAGACATTTATCATACAATTGGATTTGGTTCCACATTGATACAGTTAACAAGGGCACAGTTATAGAAACATTCATTTATTTGTGCAAATCACAAAGTAAATAAAAGATTATTCTAATTGGCCGGTCTCATCACTTCAACTTCTCTTTATATGCTGTTCTGTTTTAGGCATAGCCGTTTCTGGGATGCAACAATTTGACTGGTGAATATCATTTTGAGAGTGGATTGTTAAAAATTTGACCTATTATTGCCGACAGCGAATCCGAGTTGTGAAGCTAGTCAAAAAATTGTTATAGAACTGCTTATATATCCAATCAAGCATCTTGTTTGGTGCATAGGTGCCCACATTAAACCTACCCTTCCTATCAGAATGATAAAGAGAGAACATTAGCACAACATATGCTCCAAAATAATGTGAATAAAATTGTAAAATGATCCTACTATTTTCTTCACCTCCTCCATTCTCAACTCTCAATGTCCTTACCGTAAGGCAGGATGAGATTTTGCTTATTTGCTTCTGAATTCCGGTCCTTTATTATTCAAAATTGAGCTATGAGCTTATGACCAATTCATCTTATTCTGTTAGCACTCAAAGCATGGCTGTAGCTGTAGCTGTAGCTTCATCGGCCAAAGATCGATGAGAATCATCAAATTTGTCACATACCAAATGCCTATTTTTCATGCAAAATTGTTTAGAAAAAGTATATACAAATTGTATCAACAAACTCTTCTGTTTGTAATTTTGACCCTCTTGCAAATGGACAGAAACAGAATACAAATCTTCGTCAAACAAGCAAATTTTAGTACAACGGCAAACATGAGAGAACAGAATATTGAAAGTTAAATGAATAAATACAATAGAAAAGGCCAAGGTATGGTGCCATTCCATAAGAATAAATCAATTACAGATTTTTATTAAAATGAGTTGTACAAATGATAATTATATATATTTATTTATATATACCTATTGCGCAAGCGGCATCCACTCTAGTTCTAGCTCAATTTCTCCAGATTCCACATTCTGGAGCTTCAGTAATATATTCTGTCTCACCTTCCCATCAACAATGTTAATGATGCTGTCCTCTATAAGCGCGTTGTCATCTGATTTCAACCATTTCCCGATCTGCATATTTGCAAACATTTCTGGGTCGCCAAACGCCATGGCCGATGTTAGCAAAGGCTGGATATCAATCTCTGCTTCTCCCATTATGTCATCCGACGAAAATGTATCGTGATCAAACACTCTCTTCAATATGAAAATTCATAAGGTGATAAAAAATGTCATGACCATGTTTTGCGGAAGATAAAGAAAACTTTATTATTAATAAATAGCAATGAAAGAACTAGCATTTCACAAAGATTTGATTCTAGAATGTATTTCTTTAGCTTCTGTTTATGTTATGAATAATGAGATGTCCATTTTATAATTTATTTTCCTCTCAGCTTCTAGCAAAATTTTGTTCAGTATTTAGTTTTTCTAATTCTGATACTTAACACTTTTATATGTAGATGAGATCCTCCACATCAAGCTTGAAGCAAGCAATGGATAATGCATAATATAATTGGCTCATCTTCTTGAAGAAAAGTCTTGAAAATAGGTCCAATTCCATTTTTATTTATCATATGATGGTAGTGCATTTGCAGAGGATTATTTTCATCATTATAAAAATGAATCTGTAAAGATATAGAAAAGCGGCTTACCAACTTTACAGGTCCGTAATCCTGAGGAACTGAGAGCATGAGCTCCTCATTCCAAACTGGATTCAAGTTGCTCTTGATTATAGTCGTCTGAGTGGTCTAATGACAAAAATTCCCATATCGTCATCAGAAATATGAAAAATAAAATAAAAACTATTACCATATGAATCGGGTAGCAATCATCCAAACTATTATCAGTATACAAAATAATGGACACCACAAAATGAAGATATATACGCTGTTCCCACCATGGTGGCAGAAGCAGAACATACATATGGAACAACAACAAAATGAAAACAAGGAAACAATAGGAGCTGCCACAAAAGGTGAAGCTCTAGCAGTGTTATGGTGAATCCTCAAACCAAGTTTATTTATCCATAGGCACCAAACATTCTAAAGAGACAAAAGGTCTGAAGTTTGTATAAACGCCAGAGATTCAGTTCCAAGGATAATATAACTTAAAAGAAACTAACCTGCTGTCCAAGACTCAGAACGACATAAGGATCGCTTGACATCATATCTCTGATAGCTAAATTTACGCCTTTTATCACTTTGACTTTCAATAAGCCAATAAACTCTACCATACCTACCTGTTACAATTAACAATGTTAAGGATTGAAGTTACAAATGGTACAACCATATAGCTAATGACACAAAATCAAGATGGTCAAATTGTTACTACAACCAATTTACAAAACATGAGCTAATGTCCTATGAACAATAGCGTACACAAATATGGGAACAAGGAAAAATTTAGCATTAGAACATAAGAATGCAAATGTAGGCACACACATGTATGATACATTACCATTATGGATATCTGATTTAAAAATGGCTGTATTTCACCTAAAAAACTTACCTTCCATGACTGCTAACAAGATTATGATCTCTTTTGGAGAACAGAAGGGGAAAAATTAAAGCCACAAAACCTACCGTTTTTTTCTGTGATGTATTACTTCGAAAACTATCTAAAATTTTCCGAGAAAAACTTGCTTGGAGAGAAGCAGAATTCTTTCCCGATGAAATCCGTAAGCTAGGTTTCAGAAATTGTTGAAGTTCATACTTCGACCTACACAGAAAATGGAAGTTATATAAAAAAAATACTCCCAACACCGAAGCTATTGCAGATAATTCAAATCAGGCACAATTTCACCAATACATAATCTGAAATCACAATGTCAGTTAGTCATGGAATTTTACTGGTAAAAACTAGAAGTATGAATGGGAAACATTTGTATAATAGATTGCTAGGTAGGTTTAAAGGACAACTATAGTAAGCACGTTCATATCATTATCCAGCCGAATTGTGATCAACAGAAGAGGTCTGAACTAAAGTTGCATAACATACATACAGAATATAAGAAGAGCTACAAATGTGCACATAAATGGATGTAAAGCTTTAAAGATTCTAACAATTGACAAACCTGATAAACTTTGAACGTTCCTCATGGCTGGAATCTCGTCCAGGCTTTAAAACTCCGTCTGGTATAAAAGCCTCATAAATTGAATTAGCTGAGGCATTTCCTCCAACTTCAATCATGGCATCAACTTCATCCTCAGACCACTCATCTAATGTCACAGACAAAACCTGGAGGCGGAACGACAAGAACAAATGAAATCAAGCTGGCAAGCATAACTGCCAGTCACCACTGAGCAGAACACCCTGGGAAAATCCACTATATTCGAAGGCAAAAGGAATATAAATACAGTTTGGGTAGACAAAATACTAAATTGTTCCATTTTTTTCTTCTTAAAATTTCTTTTACTGGTTAATTATTATATCTTAATCATCAAATAATTACCATTACAATCAACCACTTGATCAGAGTTAACAAATCAATGCTTTTGTGATATGAAGCCGTAATACATTAAAATTTAGGTAGGTACCTGAACCAACAAGATACTTAGAAAAACTTGACAAAGCATGAAAAAAGAGTTAATAAAACAAATTTGAATCATATATGTAACCAGAAAAACAATATAAAATCAAGTACATAAATGATTTTTTATCTTCTTTCATAACCAAATATCTGTCCCTAATTTTAGTTAACCTAAAAAACTTCTGAAAAAGGATATCAAATGAAGACCAAAATTTATTCTGGACAATACAAAGATCATTCCCTTAGAAAAAATTCATCAATCAAATAGTTGTAGCAAACATGCATAAATGTTATGACATATAACATGCACAAGCTACTAAATTAAAACAGTGTTAAATCATCAACCAGATGGTGATGGCAGCGATGCAAACATTTCCTGACTAAACTATCCGCATAGGCTACGCCTACTGAACGAGCATTTGCCAGTCAAATTCCCAAACATAATGCTAACTTAGAAAGTAATTATAGCAAAAATGAGATATGCAGAGTCCATTGTTTTTTCAGTGTAAACTTAATCACATCTATAGTATGAGAATTCATACATGTTACTATTCCTATGAAGAAATGCTTTCCCTAGTCAAGAAAATCAAAACGGTGGCAAGCAAGAGTTACCTTAGAGACATGTGTACCAAGGCTTCTGTGCACACCACAACATTTTAAGCATATAAAGACTCCAATATTAGCCGACCTGCAAATACAGAGATCAATTGATTTCTCCACACTTTACTGGCATATATCATTAGCAAATAACATAAATTTATGGTTACTTATGCTTTTTTATTACATAGTCACTTCTTGGGCTCAGCATCTATTATAATATCTTTCTGAACGTGTCCATTAGAAGACATCACCTCAACATATTATGGAAATGGTTTTCTACTTTTATCAGAGGTGTCATTCAGCCACAAAATAGGTGTAGCCTCCCCCTTCCATACCCTTCCCTGCTGCTGTTTAAAACTCAATTGAACCTCTTATAATAACATTTATAAGACCTTTACATCTAATATCATGAAAAATGGGAATCATAACTCCTCGATCTCAAAGGAAGAAAACACTATGCTATCATCAGACAATTTAATCAGACCGGCTTCACTGTGTCAACCATTATATTCCAAGCCCTATTTGAAACTAGTTTATCCTGACAATACCAAGAACTGATCAACTTAATACTATAAGTCCAATAAATCCACCATATAAATCTTATCAGTTAGGTACTCAATTAAGCTACTTGATATTTACTATTTACACTTAATGCCATCAACAATTCTAAATGAAATAAACAATCACAAAAATGAATACTATATAGTACAATTAAACTGAAAGTTATAACTCACGCCCATTTAGGATCTGGAGCACCACAATCAGCACAAATGCGGTTATCACTTTGAAGTAATAGATCCTTTAACCTTCTTTTAACTGTATAGAAAGATGCACACAAAAAAATGGTTAAAGTAAAATTAAGAGAATGAAAAAACTACTTTATTTTCAATCCTTCACTAGAACAATTTACAATCTGAGTTATAAAAAGCATCAGCTATAAAGCATGAACAAACGGACTACATTATCCATTTCATGTTTTTTGTCAAACCATAGAGCATAGATATTGTCTTCTTATTGTGTATCCAACAAAATCACGTACTAATTAATACTTAAACTATCTGTATTCTTTTCCTCTCCACAATCTAAACCTCCAATTAGAGTTTTCTCAGGTCAACTAGCACCATTGATGACCATAATGACTGTGACAAAAGTTAAAAGGGGATTTGAATAAGGATATGTGATGAGTAGTTTCCACCCAACATGATATACAGTATCCTGGTATTGCTCATAACAAAACCACCTCATAAGCATCAAGAAATAATTTCTTCAAAAAGTGCCATATATATCCTAATTATGACTTGTAATTGTTTCTAAGAAAGCAAATCATAAATTACTGCCTCCACAATTCTGCATTCCATGCAGCCTCCCAGTGGATTACATGGATTACTAAATGCAGACCTCTTACAATTAAAAAATATACACATATAAATCAAACAAAATTATTTGATCACTGTCATCACTTGAATTAAAAAAAAAAAAAAAAAAGTATGGTGAATCCTCAAACCAAGTTTATTTATCCATAGGCACCAAACATTCTAAAGAGACAAAAGGTCTGAAGTTTGTATAAACGCCAGAGATTCAGTCCCAAGGATAATATAACTTAAAAGAAACTAACCTGCTGTCCAAGACTCAGAACGACATAAGGATCGCTTGACATCATATCTCTGATAGCTAAATTTACGCCTTTTATCACTTTGACTTTCAATAAGCCAATAAACTCTACCATGCCTACCTGTTACAATTAACAATGTTAAGGATTGAAGTTACAAATGGTACAACCATATAGCTAATGACACAAAATCAAGATGGTCAAATTGTTACTACAACCAATTTACAAAACATGAGCTAATGTCCTATGAACAATAGCGTACACAAATATGGGAACAAGGAAAAATTTAGCATTAGAACATAAGAATGCAAATGTAGGCACACACATGTATGATACATTACCATTATGGATATCTGATTTAAAAATGGCTGTATTTCACCTAAAAAACTTACCTTCCATGACTGCTAACAAGATTATGATCTCTTTTGGAGAACAGAAGGGGAAAAATTAAAGCCACAAAACCTACCGTTTTTTTCTGTGATGTATTACTTCGAAAACTATCTAAAATTTTCCGAGAAAAACTTGCTTGGAGAGAAGCAGAATTCTTTCCCGATGAAATCCGTAAGCTAGGTTTCAGAAATTGTTGAAGTTCATACTTCGACCTACACAGAAAATGGAAGTTATATAAAAAAAATACTCCCAACACCGAAGCTATTGCAGATAATTCAAATCAGGCACAATTTCACCAATACATAATCTGAAATCACAATGTCAGTTAGTCATGGAATTTTACTGGTAAAAACTAGAAGTATGAATGGGAAACATTTGTATAATAGATTGCTAGGTAGGTTTAAAGGACAACTATAGTAAGCACGTTCATATCATTATCCAGCCGAATTGTGATCAACAGAAGAGGTCTGAACTAAAGTTGCATAACATACATACAGAATATAAGAAGAGCTACAAATGTGCACATAAATGGATGTAAAGCTTTAAAGATTCTAACAATTGACAAACCTGATAAACTTTGAACGTTCCTCATGGCTGGAATCTCGTCCAGGCTTTAAAACTCCGTCTGGTATAAAAGCCTCATAAATTGAATTAGCTGAGGCATTTCCTCCAACTTCAATCATGGCATCAACTTCATCCTCAGACCACTCATCTAATGTCACAGACAAAACCTGGAGGCGGAACGACAAGAACAAATGAAATCAAGCTGGCAAGCATAACTGCCAGTCACCACTGAGCAGAACACCCTGGGAAAATCCACTATATTCGAAGGCAAAAGGAATATAAATACAGTTTGGGTAGACAAAATACTAAATTGTTCCATTTTTTTCTTCTTAAAATTTCTTTTACTGGTTAATTATTATATCTTAATCATCAAATAATTACCATTACAATCAACCACTTGATCAGAGTTAACAAATCAATGCTTTTGTGATATGAAGCCGTAATACATTAAAATTTAGGTAGGTACCTGAACCAACAAGATACTTAGAAAAACTTGACAAAGCATGAAAAAAGAGTTAATAAAACAAATTTGAATCATATATGTAACCAGAAAAACAATATAAAATCAAGTACATAAATGATTTTTTATCTTCTTTCATAACCAAATATCTGTCCCTAATTTTAGTTAACCTAAAAAACTTCTGAAAAAGGATATCAAATGAAGACCAAAATTTATTCTGGACAATACAAAGATCATTCCCTTAGAAAAAATTCATCAATCAAATAGTTGTAGCAAACATGCATAAATGTTATGACATATAACATGCACAAGCTACTAAATTAAAACAGTGTTAAATCATCAACCAGATGGTGATGGCAGCGATGCAAACATTTCCTGACTAAACTATCCGCATAGGCTACGCCTACTGAACGAGCATTTGCCAGTCAAATTCCCAAACATAATGCTAACTTAGAAAGTAATTATAGCAAAAATGAGATATGCAGAGTCCATTGTTTTTTCAGTGTAAACTTAATCACATCTATAGTATGAGAATTCATACATGTTACTATTCCTATGAAGAAATGCTTTCCCTAGTCAAGAAAATCAAAACGGTGGCAAGCAAGAGTTACCTTAGAGACATGTGTACCAAGGCTTCTGTGCACACCACAACATTTTAAGCATATAAAGACTCCAATATTAGCCGACCTGCAAATACAGAGATCAATTGATTTCTCCACACTTTACTGGCATATATCATTAGCAAATAACATAAATTTATGGTTACTTATGCTTTTTTATTACATAGTCACTTCTTGGGCTCAGCATCTATTATAATATCTTTCTGAACGTGTCCATTAGAAGACATCACCTCAACATATTATGGAAATGGTTTTCTACTTTTATCAGAGGTGTCATTCAGCCACAAAATAGGTGTAGCCTCCCCCTTCCATACCCTTCCCTGCTGCTGTTTAAAACTCAATTGAACCTCTTATAATAACATTTATAAGACCTTTACATCTAATATCATGAAAAATGGGAATCATAACTCCTCGATCTCAAAGGAAGAAAACACTATGCTATCATCAGACAATTTAATCAGACCGGCTTCACTGTGTCAACCATTATATTCCAAGCCCTATTTGAAACTAGTTTATCCTGACAATACCAAGAACTGATCAACTTAATACTATAAATCCAATAAATCCACCATATAAATCTTATCAGTTAGGTACTCACTTAAGCTACTTGATATTTACTATTTACACTTAATGCCATCAACAATTCTAAATGTAATAAACAATCACAAAAATGAATACTATATAGTACAATTAAACTGAAAGTTATAACTCACGCCCATTTAGGATCTGGAGCACCACAATCAGCACAAATGCGGTTATCACTTTGAAGTAATAGATCCTTTAACCTTCTTTTAACTGTATAGAAAGATGCACACAAAAAAATGGTTAAAGTAAAATTAAGAGAATGAAAAAACTACTTTATTTTCAATCCTTCACTAGAACAATTTACAATCTGAGTTATAAAAAGCATCAGCTATAAAGCATGAACAAACGGACTACATTATCCATTTCATGTTTTTTGTCAAACCATAGAGCATAGATATTGTCTTCTTATTGTGTATCCAACAAAATCACGTACTAATTAATACTTAAACTATCTGTATTCTTTTCCTCTCCACAATCTAAACCTCCAATTAGAGTTTTCTCAGGTCAACTAGCACCATTGATGACCATAATGACTGTGACAAAAGTTAAAAGGGGATTTGAATAAGGATATGTGATGAGTAGTTTCCACCCAACATGATATACAGTATCCTGGTATTGCTCATAACAAAACCACCTCATAAGCATCAAGAAATAATTTCTTCAAAAAGTGCCATATATATCCTAATTATGACTTGTAATTGTTTCTAAGAAAGCAAATCATAAATTACTGCCTCCACAATTCTGCATTCCATGCAGCCTCCCAGTGGATTACATGGATTACTAAATGCAGACCTCTTACAATTAAAAAATATACACATATAAATCAAACAAAATTATTTGATCACTGTCATCACTTGAATTAAAAAAAAAAAAAAAAAATACCTGAAGCAGGTCTCCCAAGTTCCATTCGACTCATTGCTGTATTTTCGACCCACAGTCATCCACCAAATACTATATTCACCAAGAAGCCTGCAAAAAATTGACCCCAACAGAATTAAAGAAAGAAAAAAAATCAAACTCAGCAAAAGTGATGCTAAAGCCTAAACAATCAACGCCTCCATAAAAACTCCAAAAACTTTTGAAAAGTTAAAACCCTTTAGACAAAATCATTAACTCACTTTGACCCTTTTCCTTTTCCCCGGGAACAAAATCAACCCAATTCAAAGTTTCACAAATTAAACTGTTTGACATGATTAAAACATTACAATCCATTTATAACTGAAACAATTCAATTCATTCAAAAGGCACAGGTGGGTGTATGATATCATTGAAAATAAATCAAAATTACCATCACAAAATCAAATTTTTATCTGATTTTGATATATATTGGCCCAAAATATAACATTAAAAAAAGAAAAGAACCCAGATGATTAAAATCCAAAAGAACCTCGAAACAATGACGAAAACAACAGATAGCCACAAACCAACCTCAAATCAAAACAAAAGAAATGATTTTTACAATACATGTTATCAAACATCGAGATTAAAAAAAGTCTAAAAACAATTTCCATGGTTACAACACTGTGAAATAAACAAATGCAATCATGCAAAGATGAATAACAAAAACAAGATAAGATTTCTAACGGGGTAAAAAAGAAAGAAAGGAAGATCTGATTACCTGAAAAATAAAATGAGTAATGAGTTAGAACAAACCCTGACAGCGAATAGAGAGAGATGGTGAGAGAGAGAGAAAGAGAGAGGTGGTTTACTGGAGAACCGAAAATTCAGTTTGAATATTTGGTGATGAAGACAAAGCAATTAAGCAAAGTTCCTATAATAATAAGCCCAAGAAAATAATATTATGATATTGATTTTGCTATTTCATTATTAATATTATGTTTTGAGAATCTTATGTATCGGAAATGAGAATGATTCTCTCTCCTCTATTTCATCTTTATATTTAGAGTAATGGACATGTTCCCTCCCGACGTTTAGCAAAATCCAAAGGGTTTCATTTATTCTGTATTGTCATCCTTAAATAAATTGTATTAACAACTTTTAGAATGTAGAGAGTGTTATTATCATATTGGCCTTGATAAACAAATTAATAAATTATTTTTAACCCCTAATTCAGTAAAATTAAAAAGAGCCATTTTAAGTTCAAATTTATCATAATCCCAACCTCTTTTTCAACCTTCTTCTTCCACCTTGCCATTTTCAGGCCAAATTGGCCAAATTTCAACGTCGTTGGAACACCTCAACACCACCAAACACATCCCCTAACCTCCCTCATCAAAATCCTTATCATCTCCACCCCTCTATACTGCCAAATTGCTGGCACCGCTCACTATGGAATCGTGTGTTTCTTGCCGATTTTCGACAATTCCAAAGACAAAAATCAACTCCAACACCACCCTCTTAACCGTCGTCCCCTCTCTAAAACCCCCACCACTTTGTTACCTAGTTTCCTTTCGATCGTCGGCCGTGAAACGTTGTCCTCTCACTGTTGGGTTTTTTCCATTTGCTCATTTTGGAAGCTGATTTTTTGTAGTTTTTAAAAACAACTAATAGAAACTATGTGATACCCTCCAATTCTATTTTTATTTTTAATTTTAGGTTGAAATTTCATTATGTTTATTTAGTAAAATAAAATTAGTTGGAATAATATAATATAAAATTAATTGGTTATTTGAGACATCTCAAGGTTCTTTGGTCAAATTTATCACAATGAGAATAATAATAATAAAAAAATCATATCTAAATTAATCCTTTAGTTGACTTTCATTAATTAATTTAGTCATGACAATTTTTTATTTTTTTTTTTTAAGTTGTCATGAGATTTTCTGTACTTAAAAACACAAATTTATGCAATTAATACTTTAATGTCAACACTAGAATATTAAAAAAAAAATATTATTTTTTCTTAGTGTGTTTTCAAACAATTTTATAGAAGTGGGGTTTTATTGATATGTTTTATTCGGTAGTATAGTATGATTGATACACTGAATAAATTGGTTACTCTATTCATGAAATTTAAAACCCACTATCTTTGTAATTGCCTCTTGACTTGGCAATCACATGCTATACTACTGCTCAATCATCGCATTCCAATCATAATCCATTGACATTATCTGTCTTTCAATTTTAAATATAAAATTGAACTTAAATTGTTCGTAAAGTATCATTTGCTTTCTATCTATAAAATATACCAATTCTGGTTTTTATTTGGGTCAATTTGATGACTCTGTATGTCTGATTATACAATTAGTATACAAATGCCCACTCTTATATAAACTCAGCATAGAAATTGATGGATAGGTGGTCTACCTTTAGAGTGACCAATCTTATACAAACAACTTCATAGTCTACTCCAACCTACCCTTTAAATTTGCCTCTTTAAAAATGTATATATATTTTTATAACTACACACGATATAGAAATAAAAAGCATAAAATAAAGAAGGTAAAGAGAGTGATGTTTGGATTGTATAACACCACTTAAAAGGGCAGACAATAATATGATTGCCATTATTAATATGAATCCCATTATATTTTATTCCTCATCTCTATCGACTATGGAATATGACTTTTACTTGTAATTGATCTATTCGATGTTGCTGCTTTGTAACAATTTTCCAAAGATACAAAGGTTTTGGATGAAATATCTAGAGGCCCATGAACTCGAATTTTGACAATATGCACTCTCCCATAAACTCAAAATGTAGTGATAATAATGTAGCCTTTATTATACTATTGTAATTTTCATGCTCTATAATTTTCTGCCTTTCTTATCCCTCGAGTCTTAAAGCTTATGATGTAAATCTAAGACCCAACCTATTTCTATTGGATGTAAGATTGCAACACTCTCTCCCACCGAATCATGTAACGTCCTAACCATTGTTAAGTAACTTGATGGTAAAATAGCAAAATAAAGATTTAACATAATCTCCTAAGTTCAAGTCTCTACTGCTACTTATAGATGTAGTTACTAGAGTTCTTATTCAGTTGGTAGTTCTATTGTCTTCAGAGATTAGTTGAGATACATACAAACTGGTTTATATATTCATAGTCATAAAAAATAAATAAATAAAATCATATAACACCCTCAACACCAACCTATTTTTAGGTATTTTTATTGGATGCGGGGGAGAATGGTGGCGCCCTCGTCACCAACCTATGTTTAGGTATTTCTATTGGATTTGAGATTGCATCATTCTCTCTCATCAAATCATGTGACGTTACGTTACACTATCCTTGGCATCAATCCATCCCTTGATTGGTTTAGGGGCCTATAGATTTGGGCTGCTCCTGCTCACCCATCCTCTAACTCACCCCTTGGTTGGTTTAGGGGCCTATTGATTTGGGAAGTCCATATAATGGATGAGATCTTATTCTTGCTTTATACCACTTGTCATAAACTGAAAATTTACTGATTACCCAAACGACTAGATTACTAAGTGTCATTATACCCAACCTTATAACTCCAAGAACCAAACTTGATTCGTATTCATTCAACTTAGAGTGAGTAAATTAAGGTCCAATTAAGTCCCAATGGGTACAATTCAGTAAACACTACAATTACCACTACTCGACACTCCTCATCAGTCCACAATCTTAATAAATATAGCAAATAACAACTTACAAATTAAGAATAAGTGTCAATAACTCCAAGGCTTAAAGCCTACGCCATTGGCCAAGGATTTCCAAAGCATAAAAACTACGTCACCGGCTATGCATTCCATCACCAATCTTGACAAGGATTTGGATAAAGGATAAGTGATAAACTCTCTCAAGAATTCTCAAATTTTCATTAACAACCAGCTTAAAATGAAGAAGAGTGTCATTTAAGTAGTCCATACACTTTGGGGCGCCAAAAAACATAATGGAAAGAAAATAAATTACAAGTAATATAATCTAATGCCACAAAACAACCTAAACTTTCCCAAAGTGGAAAGAGACATGGAACCACCCAATGCTCCATCTTTGTCTTGGCAAAACGGAAAAACTTGTATCCCCCCAATGTTCCATTAACTCCTTGCATTAATGGTTCACATGCTCCCATTTGACTAGCTTTTGAAATTCCTTGTCAATTTAGAGGAAATGGTTCCAAGTAATTAGATTACACCTAAATGCATGAATCGGCCTATTGGATCAAAGCATCACACACTTGTGTGGATTAGGCTGCCCTTGGATAAGTTATCATCTTGTACTTTTCTTCCTTCTGGGCAATTGAGATGGGTTTGACATTGACTTCTTCCATGAATTTTCCTGGCCCGAATGATGAAGTTTAGGCTGTTCTTCAGGGGGTGAGCACGGGTAGCGGGTAGAACCGGAACCGGGGGTAAGAACCGGAACCGGAACCGGAACCTACCCAGAACCTGCACAGTGCGGGTAGGTTCCGGTTCAATTTTTTGGAACCGCTACTGTGCTTTTCCGGTTCCGGTTCTTACCCCCAGGAAACCGAACAGGAACCAGAACCTGTAAAAAGGGTACCCTGTTTGGAACCTGTAGGGGGTACCCTGTTTGGAACCTGTTTGGAACCTGTTTTGGAACCTGTTTGGAACCTGTTTGGAACGTTTTGGAACCTGTTTGGAACCTGTTTGGAACCTGTTTTGGAACCTGTTTGGAACCTGTTTTGGAACCTGTTTGAAACCTTTTTTGGAACCTGTTTTGGAACCTGTTTGGAACCTGTTTTGGAACCTGTTTGAAACCTTTTGGAACCTATATTGGAACCTGTTTTTGAACCTGTTTAGAACCTTTTGGAACCTGGACATAATGAAATATTTGTGAAATGTAAATAATGGGGGAGTTTCTATTATTTTACATATAAAAAAATTAAAATAGAAAAAGTTAATTTTTTAGAATAACCTAAAATAAATATACGAACAATTATACTTATTACATATAATACACCATATTAAAAGCTTTAATATACTTAATACATTAATATTAAAGTTTTGATCAATTAAGTGAATAATTGGAATTAGGATCCAATTAAAAGTGTTTTCATTTTAATGTTATTAAAAGAATTATTTTTGATAAAATAGTGTATTTGATTGAGTAATATATATTTAGTTTATTTACTTCAATTATCAAGTTCTAAGTATATCTATAATAATTAGTAATTAATTATTATATATGATAATTGAATAACTAATAATTTAATTCTAGTTAAAATCTCATGCTTAATCATTATAACATTACATTATAGTTAAATGATTACTTAATTAATTATAATTTTATAACATACTTAATTGATTTATAGTATAATTAATTATAGCATTACATTGATTGATTACTACTTAATTAATTGACTTTATTATAAACATTAGTACAAACTATTAAATTATAAAATTTAATTAATTATAATATTACATTAAAATTTATAGTATGATTATAATAGTTAATTCACTATAATATTACATTATATTATGATATATATTAATTATAACAATTACATAATTAAATTTACTTAATTGATTATAAGTTATGATATTTGTTTAAACAGTAGTAATTATTAATTTGCTACATAAACATTAGCACAATACTTTAATTAAATGATAAGAAATTAATTAATTATAACTACCTTTAAACATTTCATTATAAACATTAATTAAACATTACATTATAGTTAAATAATTACTCAATTAATTATAATATTATTATATTATGATCATTTACTTAATTATAGCATTACATAGTTAAATGATTACATAATTACATATTAGAGAATTATACATTACATTATAAACATTAGTAATTTACTAATTTACTATATTATTACATTACTAATTATTAAACGATTAAAAATTTAATTAATTATAATATTACCTTATATATTTATAATATAATTACTTAATCAATTATAACTTCTATTATAAACATTATATATTAATAAAATGATTTGAAATTTAATTAATTAAATATTAAATATATATTTATAGTATTATTTTAATTCATTATAACATTACATTATACTATTAAGTATGATCATATAATTAATTAACATTACATAATTAAATAATTACTTAATTGATTATGGTTATGATATTATATTTTAAACATTAGTAATTACTAATTTACTATATAAAACATTAGCACAATACTTAATTGAATGAAAGAAATTTAATTAATTAACATTACTTATAAACATTTCATTATAAACATTAATTAAGCATTACATTATAGTTAATAATTACTCAATTAAATTATAATATTATAATATTACATTATATTATATTACTTACTTAATTATAGCATTATATATAAATGATTACATAATTACTTAATTAGTTATAAATTTATACATTACATTATAAACATTAGTAATTTACTATACATTACATTACTTAATTAAACGATTAAAATTTAATTAATTATAACATACTTATATATTTGTATATGATTACTTAATCAATATAACATTCCATTATAAACATTAGTATTAATCAAGATTTTTGAAATTTAATTAATTATAATATAAATTATAGATTTGTAGTATGATTACTTAATTCTATTATAACATTACTTAACTATTTATAGTATGATCATATAATTAATATAACATTACATAATTAAATATTACTTAATTGATGGTTTATGATATTATATTTTAAACATTAGTAATTACTAATTTACTACATAAACATTGCACATACTTAATTAAATGATAAGAAATTTAATTAATTATCATTACCTTATAAACATTAATTAAGCATTACATTATAATTAAATAATTACTCAATTAATTATAATATTATTAAATTACATTATATTATGATCACTTACTTAATTATAGCATATATAGTTAAATGATTACATAATTACTTAATTAGTTATGAATTTATAACATTACATTATAAACATTAGTAATCTACTATACTATTCACTTACTTATTAAACGATTAAAATTTAATTATTATACATTACTTTATATATTTGTAATAGATTACTTAATCAATTATAACATCTATTATAAATTAATATATTAATTAAATGATTTGAAATTTAATTAATTTAATATAAATTCTAGATTTGTAGTATGATTACTTAATTCATTATAACATTAAATTATACTATTATAGTATGATCTATAATAATATAACATTACATAATTAAAAATTACTTAATTGATTATAGTTATGATATTATATTTTAACATTGTAATTATAATTTACTACATAAACATTAGCACAATACTTAATTAAATGATAAAATTTATAATTTAACATTACCTTATAAACATTAATTAAGCATTACATATAGTTAAATTTACTCAATTAATAATATATTATTATATTACATTATATTATTACTTACTTAATTATAACATTTATAGTTAAATGATTACATAATTACTTAATTAGTTATGAATTTATAACATACATTATAAACATTAGTAATTTACTATCTATACATTACTTAATAACGATTAAAAATTTAATTAATTTAACATTACTTTATATATTTGTATATGATTACTTAATCAATTATAACATTCCATTATAAACATTAGTGTATTAATTAAATGATTTGAAATTTAATTAATTATAATATTAAATTATAGATTTGTAGTATGATTACTTAATTCATTATAACATTACGTTATACTATTATTGTTGATCATATAATTAATATAACATTACATAATTAATGGTTACTTAATTGATTATGACATTATATTATAAACATTAGTAATTTACTAATTTGCACAATATTTAATCGAATTATTAATTTATTATTATAAACATTAATTATAAATTTATGGTATGATTATTTAATTAATTATAACATTCTATTATAAACAATATTATATACTTAATTAACATTTAATTAATTATAATATTACTTATTAATTAATAATATATTACTTAATTAATTATAACATTACAATTTACATTGTAGTATGATCACTTAATTAATTATAACATTACAATTTACATTGTGTAGATCACTTATTTAATTATAACATTACTTGTTTTCTATAAAATTTACTAAATTATATTGGTATATTATAATACCCAATTAACCAATTATAACATTAAATTAATAAATTTATAAACATTATATTTTTAACTTATCAATAGACCCCTGGCAAATGGCAATGTTAGTAATTAGTATTAGAATTGGTGTTGTTTAAATGATTTTGGGTGAAGTTATTTTATTGAATTGTGATGAATAATTGTTTGTGTTTTGGTTTTGATTGACGAATTTTATGTGAATTGTGATGAATTGATTGATTCAAGCGTTGCTTAGAGATTACAGTTATAGTTACATTGGACACAAATGAATGAATAACAAATTTGTTAGGGGTGTATTGGTAAACTTATAAGGTATTTTTGTTATTTTTTAAACTAATAGGGGGGTTTGATTTTTTACAGGGTACCCTGGAAAGGAACCAGACCTGCATTTTAGGTTCCCGTTTCCGGTTCCTTTTTTTGGGAACCTGTACTGTGCGGTTCCGGTTCCGGTTCCCCGAAAAAGTGCAGGGTACCCGGAACCGCTCACCCCTAGTCTTCATGTTGATTTCATATCACAACCTATTTGGGTATTTCTCCCCGATGTGAGATCACTGTAATAAACACGGCGGTTGGTTTAAAAAATATTGTATTGGTAGAATGTTTTATTAAATTACCTTAAAGATTATAGGGAATGTTATATTAAATATATTTGATTAGATTAAAATAAATTGATGGGTATAAATAAATAACATATTTGATTAGAAGGAATAAAAGAATTATGGGAGAAACCTTTTACTAAATTGCCCTTTTTTTTAAATTATTATTTATAATAATATTTGGATTATATTTTTAACTCGAATTTAGCCAAAACACTCTGAACACAATAAAAGTTTAAAATTTAACAAAATACCTTCAACCACCCAAGACTGGCTGTTGACCCCCACCACGCCAACCCTCACCTCCTTTGGCCGCCGGCCAACCACCCTTCGCCTTCCCCCATCGTTAGTCGTCCTCTCCATCTCCTCCACACCGTCATGACGCTTCATCTCTCCTATCGTCGACGATAATTTAGCTTCCAACGACGTTTCCTCCATTTTCCGACGCCGTTTGCCCTTCCCTAGTGTAGATCGGCCACCATAGTTTCATCTCCACCTTCACTTGAGCCCTCCCACATTGATTTTGTCAAAGATTGGCTGTGACTATTCGTATTCCGCTAACGATCGTTCAACTTCTTCATTGGATTTTGCTCACTTTCCAACGATGTTTGGGCTCCCCAGCTACCTATTTGGACTCCTTGGCACCTGATCTGCCTCGCTTCATGTTTGATCGTCATATCGCCACCAACAGTGGTGGCTCGTTTCCAATTGTGGTGACGGGTGGCTGGGGTATTAATTTGGGGATATAATTTGGTGGAAATATGAGAGTAATAATGTCTTAAAAATATTGTGTATAAAGTTAAAATTGTCCATAAATATTCTTGTAAATTGTTTTTAGAGCAGCATTACAATACGAAATTTTTATTAATTAGGGGCAAAATTGTAACAAAATTATGATTATTAACTAATCTTAGAATGTCTAAGAAATGGATGATATTCAGATTATCACCTGTATAATTTACAATAATTACTATTGATATTAGAGTTTTATAAAAAACTTTTATTATTAAACAATCAAACATGATAATGTCAATAATATAAGATGACATTGCCTCCAATCAAACGCACCCTAAATGTATTCTAAACACTTAATAAAAATAAAAGCCTAAATTTTAAATACGAAAAGTGAAGGGGTATTATTACTTGGAGGCCACTTTTCGGGAACTTAATTAGAGGACACAAGTTTCTTTTTTCTTTTTTTTTTTTTTTTCTATTAAAGACATTTATTTTCCCCTTTTTCCACACTATTTTCAGGTACAATTCTAAGAAGAAGAAGAAGGAAAAAAAAGATTCAGATAGGTTTCTGATTTTCAGTATATAAGTGGTTTTTTTTTTTTTTTTTTTTAAAGGTAAATTTAGATTACGGTACCAAATAAATTTAACAGTGATATATATAGAATCTAATTGGGGCGTGTAATAAAACGTAAATTTTAAATAATTTTTGTGGGGTTGTTTTGAATAAAGTTGGGCTCTGATATAATGGACTGTTGAAGATTAGTTAGTGGTTGATATAAAATAATGGATGATCGAAGATTAGTCAGTAGTTCATATATCTGCATATTTGTTATCTTGTTAAAAAGGATAGGCAGTACAATAGCGTGGGCTGTATAAAATACTCGTGTTAAATGAGTAATGGAGATAACTGATTGAGTAAATAGTGCAACTAGAAGGTTGGAATATTATAAGCTCTACTAAATTAATAATTATTATTATTCCAAATATAATAATCACAAAAATATTATATCTTAACTAAACAAAAACATTTCTATTAACTATCTTTGACAATAACTTGCCATATGAAATCACTCCTCCAGAATTATTTTTTGATTTGTCTTCTCCGTTTTCAAATCTATGGAAAATGAAATATCATGCACTCGTAAATGTATATGCAAAAGCTAATATTAACCCCATCATGTTATTATGATGTCATATTATGAATTAAACATTACAAATTGATGTTCAATGTTCTAATAAGGAATGATAAATGTAAAGTTCTACGCTATCGAATATACATCACTTTCAGTAACATTATCGAAACTCTTTTCGACAAGAAAGCTAATCCTTTGCAAAGAAAAACAGAAAAATGGATGGATGGATGGATGTATTATTGCGACAACACGAGTAAATTGTTTCTCCCACCCAGTAGCTATGCTCTGACATATAAATGTGACTGAACTCGACATCATAGAACAGCTTTGTTAATCGGCCAAAGTTACTTCAACAAGATGTAAAACATATTTTTCTCTGGAAAGAAGGATGTTATGTCTTACAACAACCAATCAAAACGGTTCCTAACTTGTATAAATCATAAGGATTACACAATTATTTAATCATACACGATGAATGGTAACAGCTAATCAAGTTCTTGACTGCTGGATAATTAATTAAGGAAGACTGCCATGTTACCTGAACACCGAAGCATGATCTGACAGAATGTGATCACTGAAATCTTTTTAATAGGCATCAGTGAGATTCACAACACTGCAAAATCAATACACTTCGACATGCCATTGCTTGTTCTTCTTCAGCTGTGAAAGCTTCTGATCCCAGTTTTCTCCTCTCTGATCTGCAACTCTCTTCAGTGTTTCCTGAATCCCTGGCATCATTCCCTTGAGCCCGCAGAAGTATATATGGGCCCCACCATCCAAAAGTTTGAAGATTTCGTCACTATATTCCTCAATCTTATCCTGGACATACATCTTGCCTCCATTCTTGTTCTTTTGTTCTCTACTGAGTGCTTTGTCATAACGGAAGTGATCCGGGTAGTCCTGAAGATACTTGGTGAATTCTTCATCATAAAGGAGACTGTCAGTGTTGGCCACCCCAAGGAAAAGCCATGCAAGGCCACCAAACTTGTAATTAGGAATGGATTCCATAAACATACGGCGGAGGTAGCCTCTGTACGGAGCTACCCCAGTGCCTGTAGCAATCATTATGTGGGTGGCGTTGGGATTATCTTCAGGCAAAAGCATAATCTTACCAGAGGGTCCTACCAAAACATCATAGTTTGCTGTTAATGGCAGATATCATTTCAATTTAATCACCAATCAACAGGTTACATGGAAAATTAATAAATCCCAAGAAACATTCAAATTGAACAATATGAACCTTCCTAAAATGGGAAAATTATTATATCTAAATTAAGTATTTAGGTACAAACTGCTGTACAACAAGAAGATGAGAAGCACCAAGACAAGAAGTAGGCTAGGAGTGAATATAAGCAATTCAGTTAACATGGTACCATATTATCAAAATTAATCAACACAGAACAACAAACTGATGCAACAGCTCAAGAAAAACCCAGACGGAAAAATAGCATAGCAAAACAAAACTTCTAAAATTAAAAAAATCGAAAGAACTGATCATGAAATTTTGACAAATCCAACTATATTATATGGTAAGGTGATTGGAACTCTAAAGGACATCAGTTTGAAGAAGGAAGGTGTGGAAATGCCATTCAACCGCCCCAAGGGCAAAGGAAAAATAAAACAATGTATAGAAACTAATTCAACCTTATCTCTATCCTACAGGTCATAAACAGCATCAATTTGTTAGCATGCTAGACACACAAATATAGAAGTTTGAGGAAAGTATTATTGACTTATACATACTGTCCCACCCTCTGCATGAGGCAATAGAAGATACTTTAAAGGATACCTGCCTTGAATATCTTTCACAGGAATTTCCATTGTAAACCTTCTAACCAGTTAAATAACAAGCATTAGACGCACTTTTACATCCTAAATTTCAAGCAAGATCTGGTTCATTGAATTGCTGAAGGTGTTTGAAGCAAGCTAATGCACTAACATTTCAATAAACCACTAACATCAAATGTAACAGGTTTGTCTACTTCGATACAGTCCTAACTTTACATAGAAAAGTAACCAAAAATCAACTCATGCACTAAAAGATGATTTCCCTTTGGTTGGGATGTTTACTGCCTTTGAGAAGGCTAAGTCTAGCTGATAGAATAACCTTTCAATAAGTAGTGAACATAAAACCTCTAAAGCAAATGTAGGTTGCAAGTTCTCATGGATCTTCTGTCAAATTAATTGGATCTTACCTGTGATCTGAATTTTGTCTCCAGGCTTTGAGTTGCACAGGAAATTACTGCATACACCATTCTTTGAAGGATCCTCCTTTCCAGTCAGAGAGTCATAATACACAGCACGACGAACACACAAACTGGTTGTCTTCCCATCGAAGGAATCTCCATACCTAGTAGATGCAATTGAATAAAGACGAACATTGTGGGGACTCCCAGGTTTCTTTGGGTTTTCACCCTGTGATGCAACAATACTTCCAATCAGAAACTCAAATGTATATATTGTACAAAAATCACATCTTACAAACAAAGTCAAGTCAGAGATAAAAATCTAGGATTACAAGCTTTAAATTTAAAATACTATTGTTGCAGCTGTACCTATTAGCTTAAGCTTAAAGGAAATGTAGCAACTTCACATGGTATCATAGCCAAGTTAACCAAGTGGCCTTGTGCTTAATCCCCTTACTGCATTAATTAAATTATTATGAGTTGAATTTTTGGTTATGGTTGTATTAGTGGTCTGGTCATGTCTAGTCCACATTCACTGATAAGGGAACTCATTTGAGCTTAAATATTATTATTGGACCCTTATCTGATAGGTTAAGCTTTTATGTCAAGTGGTAACTTTCACGACAAGCGATGACTTCAAACATGAAGTTGGGGACCTCTAATTGACATGACCAGACATTTCTGGCATATTAATTAATTAAATCAATCATAAACTATGTTAGCAGTCAACAAGATATGTGTACAACAATTTGGTAAAGAAAACAGTTGATTACACCTCTTAGGAGCTTATTTGATTGCCCTTCAACCCAATTTTCTTTAATCGAACGAAAAATTCAATGTATTACTTAAGAATAAGAAACTACGTATCAAAAGCTCAATAAACCTAATGACTTACCGGAGGGATGACACCATAACTCTGTCCTTCCCAGTAGGGAACATTTCCACAGTGATCAATAACTATATGGCAAGTCTCTCCTGGAGCTTTTGGGCCTACAATCCTCTCAACAGAAACAATGGTTGCTGTGTAGGGTTCTTTGGGTTTGTATAAATTTAATGGAGGCTCCTTAGCATCTTCCAGTTCCAGAGGTGAAACAGCAACCTTAGATCTGCTTGCTTGTTGCACTGACATGCATACTACATAACGATTTCTCAACCGTGCATTCCTTGATTTTAAGTCTAGAGATAACGGAGGAGCCCATGATTTATCACCAAATCTTACATTGTTTGCCTGCCACAACAAAACCAAAAGCAGTTGCCTTAGATTTGATTCATCATATGCTGCATATAGATGCCCAAATGTTCATTTCACAATTATGATGCCTTTTAACTCAAGAGTTGCACCACGATGCAACTGCGAAAAGCAAGAACCAATTGGAAACATACCAAGGGTTTATTACATAAATTTGTCAAGTACATAAACTAATCAAGAATATCTAGCATTCAAGAAACAATATTGAAACCATCTGAAACGCTCATGTCCAACAGCCCAACTGCTAACTAGTATTTAAAAGTCTAAAACAAACACACACAGAGTTAGATTACGTGAGTAGAGAACAAAATATCTTAATTACGCAGCCTAAAAACTAACAAGCATCTCTTTGAAGTGTGACAATCAGTATAAATAATGACATTTCTGGTGATACATAAACCAAATTAAACTTCACCACAATTCAAATACAGAAAATTCAAGGAAGAAACAAGTAATCAATCAACAATTTTCATGTACTAAAAATCACATCAAAAAGTGTAAAAGCAAACTGAAGACGTTTGATATTAGCATAAAATTCGATTTAAAAAAGACAAACATGTACTCCGTTAAAATCAAAGCACAAGCATCACTAAAAGATAATTAAGAAAATGAAAATTTTCAAATCTCACTTAACCAATCATGATTAAACATAAATTAAGTAGTTACCTTAAACACAGAACTCGTTCTGAGAGTCGAATCAGTGCGAACAGGAACGGTCATAGAGAGCTGAAAGAAACAAAAGAAATACAAATCATTTTCCAAAAAGTGAGTTGGAACTGAATAGAGGATTTTCCCGAGAAAGAAACGGAAAGTAAGAAAGATCGAGAGAAAAGAAATGGAAATGTACCTGAGAGACGGCCAAGTGAGCCATGATCGGATCAAAAGAAAGCGCGAGACAGAGATTTTGAGTGGATATATTTTTGGAGAATATTTAGGCGAGAAAATGAAGGAAATCTTAAGGGGGTTTTATAGAGTTTAATTGATAGGATGATTGAAATAGTATTTTGTAAATTATATGATCCTTTGGAGAGTTGCAAAAGACAGCGTTGGCTTCTCGACTCAGGCTGCTACCACTGACTACTCTATTACTTAATTAATTAATCTTCTTTGGGTAAACGGCCTGTCATGTTAAATTTACTCATATACCCCTCTCCTACATTTGTCCTTATTCATTTTTTTATTATTTTTTTTAATTTGACAGCTTGATCAAATACACAATTTGTCAATAACGTTAAAATAATAATGAAAAATGAGTTTGTCATTAAAGGAATTGGTTACTTATTTATTTCATGGTTTAGGGATGTTTTTCTTAAATTAAGAAAAATGAGAATTGTATGGAAAATTGAATAAAAGCATGTTTTAATTATTAGATGGTTTAATTTGACATTGAAAAAAAAAAAGTGCATATAGACATTGGATAATTGATATTGAGACTATTTATATGAGTACAAATAACCTCATCCTATTTGTATATTGAATTAAAAAATAGTTTTAAGAAAGTTATTTACAATACAAAATTTGATTGGAGAGATTTCTTTAATCAAATTTTTAATTATGCTAACTTTAAGATGGATTTATGATTATGAAAATTATCCCTTTTTAAATATATTCAAATATTTTGTGACAATAATTAAATAGGAAGTGAGGGTAATTTGGGAATAAAAACAAATGAAGGCACATGGGTGGCTTTCGGAGGATGTTTAGGTGAATTGGTTTTGGGGTTTGGGAAACTTGAAAGGGCTAAAATTTGGTGATTATGAGAAAACAAATTGAGGTGGGCCCCTCTTCCCTCCAAATTTTGGAAAGTAAACTCCAAAACCTGTCTGTCGGCTCTCCAAGCTTGCATGATACATTTTATATAAAGTGTTCTGATTTTTTAGTCCCACTTTTTCTTAAGTTTAATACAGGTTTTAATCTCAGGTTTAATTAAATAATACAAGTTTTTCTGAGATTTTAGAAAGAGTAAACGACATGTTCCCACGTAAGGTTTAGTGGAATGACAAGTTTTCATCACTGGTTTCATAAATTTCATATTTTCATCTTTAAATTAATAAAAAATTGTTTAATGTAATGATTAAAGGGCAAAATGATCATTTGTGTTGCATTAAATCTAAAATAAAAATAAAAATTTCAAAATAACTATTCGCATATCAAATTTCTCTCATAAGCACCCTCTCTCAACTCATCATCATTACATTGTCAACACTGGAGCTGACCGTATTCTGTGGATCCCTGTCAAATTTCTCACCCAAACCAACAAGATTTATCACCCTCAACCAAACAATCAAACTTCCTCAAACAACCAAACAATCAATCAACGAAATCAAAAGAAAAAAAAAAAACCCACCCTAGTAGTCGCCGTTTCTAGCCCGTTTTGGCCAGAATCTGACACTGACAACCCTCTCTGACTCCACCATTGACACCTCGATATCCTCCTAACCAAAATCCATCTCACCCCCACCTCTGAGCACCCACCAATCGCTGATGAACACCAACTGTTTTTTCGCATGATTACCCAATTTTTTGGTCATTTTCTAATCAAATTTGACATCATAAATTATCATCGATACCACCATTGGATTCATTGATATCTTCCCATCGAAACCCTCAATAGCCTAGCCCTCGATCGCCCGTCGTTCGCCATCTAGGGTTTGCAATTTTGTTGTTTATTGGTTTGTTCGAAGGTTGGATTTTCGGAGATTTTGAAAGGAGTTTGAGATTGTGGTTTTTCTTTTTTTCTTTTTTTGGAGTTTGTTTGCGGTTGATTGAAGTGTATTTGTGTTGATTTTTGGGTTTTGATTTGATTTCAGGAATTGGAGATTGAAGTTTGCCCAAAAAGTGCAAACCATTTGTTTGTGGTTTCGCGGACAGCAAGAAGAAGAAGGTTGAAGAAGATTGTGTTATTAAAATAAATTTGAAAGTAAAATGATTATTTTTTTTCTAATTCTACTAATTTTGAGGTTAAAATGTAATTTATTAAACTATTTGTCAAGAGTATTTTGGTAATAACACTCTCTATATTATGTCAGAATCTAAAAATCACTAATGATGTTAATTTAATGGCGAGAACCTTGGGTGGATACAATATATATATATATATTATATTTATAGTAATATATAATAGTATAGATATATATATATATATATATCTATATATATATATATAGATATATATATATATATATATATATGTTAGAGTTTATAATGTGATAGGTAGATGAATATTTACTTAATTACCTCTCTATTTTAATTCCAAAAAATAACGATGGAGAATTTATGTTATTTTTCTAATATAAGGGGATTTTCATTATTTGATTATACCTAAAGAAGATTATGTTGTAACCAAAGTTTAACATTAAATAAGAGCCATCATTATACCTCCCATGAGGTTGCATGAAATCCAAACACACCAACTGTTATAGAAACCATCAAAAACCTGACATTTTCAATATCCTCGCATTTTATTAATTGAAATAAGAATCATAAATCTAATTTAGAGGGCTTGATGATTTTTTTTTTTTTTTTTAATCAAAGAGGAACTTTATGAAGTAGCAATAGCTACCATATAAATGAAGTAGAAACACTAAATTAATGGAGTTTGTAAGAAAGAGATGAAATGAGAGAAGGGAGAGATCTATATGTAAAAATGGTAATTATCTTGTTATATAGTGATTAAGATTTTTAGTTTTGTGAGGAATAATAGAGAAAAAAAAAAAAAAAAAAAAGGAATTTTTTTTAAATGAAAATTAATTAAATAAAAGAATTTGTTTTTTATTTTTTATTAAAAGGATGGATTTTGAATCATTTACTGACATGGAATAATAATTTTTTTTTTTTCCTTCTTCTAAGAAGTATAGATGTATCATAGATAAGGAACTGAGGAGCTATATAAAATAAATTGATTTTGTTATTACATAAGAGTTGTTAAATTTGAATTAATAAATTAATAGATCTTTAACTGTTTAAAAATTATCACATTTATCTTGTTCAAAATCTTTAGTTAGCCTGCACAAAGTAACCCTGATCCTATAAAAAGTAAAATGTTTAGAGAGTGTTTGGTGCGCTGCACTAAACTGAATTAACTTTTTCGTCCTAAATTGGAATGAATTGAACAAGATTGGAGTGGATTAAATTTAATACTATCTCGTGTTCATGCAAAAACGGACTAAATTTATAATTAATTATTTAAATCTTTTAAAATATTTTTTTGAATATTAAAAAAAATTTGAACCGGTTGATTGGGTCACCAGTTGCTAACGATAACATGTGGTACGTCTGACAACACCACCAACACCATTGGGCAGATAATCGAACGATATATCCAATAGTGGTGTCGAAGAGTCTTCTGGCGAAGACAATTCAACAGAAAAAGTAGAAAAACACTATCGCCAGGGACACTGTTGGCATTATTGGCTAGATTGTTGATAGATCTGTCCAAAGGTGGTAACAAGAAGTCTCCCAACGAAACGACTTTGTCGAAAAATGTAGAAAAATATTGGTCGAATCTTTTTCATCATTTTTCGAAAAAATGGCTTTGCCAGAGGACTCCTTGTTTGCAACATTGGATAGATCATCGGTCAATCTATCCAACTACACTAACAGTGTCATTGCACTGGTCGTTGTCAATAACACCCACTATTGCCAACCATCGAGTCCACCAACCATATCGCACGTTTCCTTAATATTAGATTAATTAATATTTAATGAAAATTGTTTTTCCTATAAAAAAAAAAAATGAATAAAATTCTTTTATTAAATAGTGCAGAGTAAACCCATGTGCGGATACGAGACAATTTTCCTAAAATTAGTACTCACTTTTAATGCAGTCCCATTCTTACAAACTTGTAACAAACATTTGACTAGTTTTTTAAAAGAGCATTGTGGCGCTACTGATTATCAATTAGTGCAATGCAATACTACAAAACAAACGCACCCTTAAGAGTTTAACCGGAATTATATTGAAAACTCATCTTAACATTTGGCTCAATTAAATAACCAAATAGATAGTGACACCCACCCACACAAGCCATTGCCGACAACCAACCACTACCGTCAGCAGTCGTCATAATAGCGTATGACCGACAAGATCTGGTCGGTCATGCACCAGTAAGACTGTTTTTGGCCAAATCTGGCCGCTTCTATGGTCGTGAAAATGTCAATTTTTTGCCGTGAAACGGCTTTACTAGCGCACGATTGGCCAAATCTCGTTGGTCGTGCGCCATTACGACGATTGTCATTGGCGAGCGGCAATGGTCTTAGGTGATTGTGGGTATTTTGTTAACTTTTAAACTTTCTTGTGGTTAGAGTGTTTTAGCTAAATTTCAAATGTAAAGGGTCTGGGCTAATGGTTATTTGATAGACATTTGATGACAATTGTGTCTGAAATGATATTTAATTAAAGGCAAAATAGGTATAAAAATTAGATTAACTTGACAATCTTTTAATAACACATCCTAGTGAGACAATCTGATTATCCTCTATATTACTAATAGTAAACACTAAATATCTATAATATTTTATTACTTATAAATCAAATAAAAAAATCTTGAAAATTAAATGAAGATAGCCCCTCCGGACCCCAAACCAAACGAACCATAGAGAAACTTAAAAAGACATTGAAAATAACAAGGAAATAATTGGAATGCTTCAAAACCCGAGGAGCCTCATTTTGCAGGGAATATGGACAAGTTGTAAAGAATGGGCCATAACTTTCGCTAACAAACTCCAAAGTCAACTCCGTAAAATGCATTAGAAAGCTGACTAGGAGAGCTTTCCAATGATGTACATAGCTTGCACATTAGTTCATTCTACATCAATACCAGTTTCATTTCGAATTTTTCCTTGAATCTAGTTCTCTTGCACCATTAATCAGTGTAAGGATCTAAAGCTCATTTGCAATGACATTTGTACCCATGCATTGGAACACTTATGTGTCAATCTCCCCTAGTTGGAAAAGACTTGTCCTCAGGTCTTGGCTATTGTCTTCAACTTGGTATGGACTAAGATCATAAACATTGAAAGTTGATAAGACTCCGTAACTTTCTGGTAATTCAATCTTGTAGGCATTCTTATC